ATGGGCGTCGGCTGGTCGAACTGCTGAGTACTCCGCCAACGCTAGTGATCGCTGGAAAGCTGGCTCAGATTTAGGTGACTCGCTGGCAGGATCATTGGACTCGTCGATCTGAGCGTGTTTGTCAAGTATTGAAAAGAGAATCCGGACATCCTCCATGCCCGCGTTCATTCCTTGGCCATAGAAAGGCACCATGGCGTGTGCGGCATCGCCAACAATAACACAAGAAGAGCCGAAATGGTACGGCTTACATTTGAGGCTGATAAGTGGGAGGTGAGGATTTGTGTTGAAAGATTCAATCAACTCATCGCCTGGTATCAAGTCCGTAACGCCTGGGAAATGGCTGTCGAAGAATGCCGGAACGCTGGCAGGGTTATTCTCAAGATCTGAGAAATCCTTGCTAGGCATAAAGAGTGTGCATGTGAATGAGCCGTCCTAAGCAGAAGAGTCAATAAATCATGGAGAACTAATGGAAACGAATAAGAAAGAACGTACATCGCTGGGGATAGCAATGAACATGAAATCCTTGCCGGGCCAAATATGCAAGTGATTAGGCGATATTCGGAACTTGGACATCGAATCGGCTGTTTCATCAGTCTTGAAAGGCTTGAGCTGGAACTCGCACCATAGAGTATCAATGTACTCCTGCTGATAGTTCATCCGGGTAAACTTCATAAGGTGGTAGCGAACAGCAGAATGGGCGCCGTCAGCTCCAATCATAAGGTCGAAGGAAATGCCGATTTCCTTGGGGCGAGACTCTTGGGATGACTTTGCATCCGCCACTTCAAACCAAGCTTTGCATTCGCGATAGTCGGCGCCTGTGAGCTTGTGGTTGAAGAATAACTTGACATTAGGCATATTATCCAGGATATCGAGCAACCGCTTGTTCAAGCCTGCCCGATCAATGGCGTGAATTGCCTATTTGGGATCGTCAATTTCACATGCTACACGGGAGTTGAGGCAATTATGCATACCCGTCCCTTGACATCGTAGTCTTGCGACTGCTCAAAGAGTGCTCCAGTTGGGCCTCTACCATGAATCATGCGGCCTCTCATTGGAATTGTTGTCGACATGACATGGTCAAGGAGGCCCGGTTGACCAGCATGGCGCATAGCATTGATTCCACGCTCTGATATGGCAAGATTGATAGATTTTGTAAAGTTGAGTGGGATAGTGCTGGGATCCCGGAGGTCTAGACCAGTCAGCGAATGCGCCTCTCGAACGTTTGGAGAGAATTTTGGTAAAAAGACTCATGAAAAACTTCACACATGACTCTCCGCAAGTCGCGAGAGCTTCAAACGAGTTTCCTCGGGGCTCCGGAACTTGTCGAGTCTTTCGCGATGCGCCAATGGGAAACATGTTAGAAAACAGTCACTTACCCGGTCGCAACTCATAAACTTCAACTTCATGGCCTCTCTGAGCAGCATACAAAGCTGCCAGAGAACCAACAGGGCCAGCACCTACAACAACGATCTTCTGAGGTTTCACCATCTTGCTCGCGAAGTTTGTCAAGGACGAACGGAGACAAGAAATGTCAAGAGATGGCGAGATATTAAGGTCGCCATACTAATAGACTGAGGACCGATTCAAGCCCCGATAGGGCCGGCTGTTTCTGTTGCATCAAAGCGATAGCGGCCGGCCGGAAGCGGAGACCCACTTTATCCACTACAGAAGAGCGAGAACAACCTCTGTCACTCACAAGACCACTGACTACCTTACCTATGTAACCCCGGCATTCGGTGTTGCAGTAAGTAAATGCCGCTGAAGGTTTGAGAAAAATGTTCTAGTTCTAAAGTGACTAGGTTTGGACTATGGTCCAATGAAGAGACCGCTAGCTGTGACCAAGTGAGCGTGTTTTGATAGAGCGAAGCCGGTGCACATACTAGTACTGCCAACTTGTTATCCTTGATGGCCCATCGCTCACTTCAAGCGCCTTCTTCAGTTCTCTTTCTGCTCTTGTGCAGGTTGAATATGTATTTATCCGGCAACAAATTCTCCAAATCTCGCAACTGTCTGCTCAGAAATAGCATACTTGACTCAAACCTGACACTGATATCATGAAATTATTCTCGACTCAAATGAGCAGAAACGCAGACGCTTGGTGAGACGCAAGTTGCAGAAAATCTCCTTAGAGACCAATTTGAGTTCCTTGTCATTCACATGCCCAGTCTTCACTGAAGCACTAACAAGCTCGCATGGACCACCGTTACTGATCACGTCTCCGTTGTGCCGTAAACCCCCCACTTACCCAAAACAGCACCGTTTACAAGAGAGCGTTAACAGCCTCTGTTAGTGAAGTGTATGCATAAAATTGCACAAAACATGTTCGACTGCCCCACCGACTCAGACTCTGTTAGAGGAGCTCCAGACCCCGTCGCCAAGCGTAACGGGCTATTGTTAGCGACGACCCTTATCGATGCTTATCAACCTGCAGCAAATGGGGCCGAGTCGATCTTTTGCTTTCGTTTGAAAGTTGCACCACGAGACACGACTCTACGACTACACTGTTTGGCACTTTGTGATCGCATTTTCATTGCTCGACAAACTCTCACTCCAGATTGCGATTTCTTGATTTATACATTCCTTTTCGCACGATACAATCTGTTTACTCGAGAACATATAGTACATTTATACCGACACAATGACTGCTGACCCCCCCGCCAAGAAGGAGTGTATGGGCGCCGACTGCCAGAACGAAGCTGGATCCCTCCAATGCCCAACTTGTCTGAAGCTGGGAGTCAAGGACAGCTACTTCTGCTCTCAGGAGTGCTTTAAGAGAAACTGGGTACATGATTTCACCACTTTGCGACAGCGACATAGGCTAACTCTGTCACAGGGCATTCACAAGACAATGCACAAGTCGCAAAGTAATATCCTCCACCACCTGAAAGCTCCGAAAGCAATCTCACCAGATCCAGCTACCGGCTATTATAACCCTTTCCCCAACTTTCCGTACTCTGGAACCTTGCGACCCGTCTATCCTCTGTCGCCGCACCGAACTCTTCCTCAGTCGATTCCTCACCCCGTGTGGTGGCAAGACGGCAACCCCAGATACAGCCGATCTCTCACCAACCGTAACAAAATCGAAATTCTCGACAAGAAGGGCCAGGATGCTATGCGAAAGAGTTGCAAGCTTGCGCGAGAGGTCCTCGACATCGCGGCCGCTGCCGCTAAGCCTGGCGTGACGACCGACTACATCGATGAGATCGTTCACAAGGCTTGTATCGAGCGAAACGTACGTATTGAGATTTACTCACGAATTTTCGAAGCGCAGGAGTCTATTTGTGATGGCTAACTCGACTTAGTCCTATCCCTCTCCTCTGAACTACAACAACTTCCCCAAGTCTTGCTGCACGTCAGTTAACGAAGTCATCTGTCACGGTATTCCTGACCAGCGTGTTCTGCTAGACGGTGACATTCTCAACATCGACGTTTCCCTGTACCACGAAGGGTACCACGCCGATTTGAACGAGACATATTACATTGGAGACAAGGCCAAGGCCGACCCTGACACTGTTCGTGTGGTTGAGACGGCACGACAATGCTTGGATGAGTCTATCAAGGCCGTTAAGCCCGGCACTCTGATCCGAGAATTTGGTAACATTATTGAGAAGCACGCCAAGAAGCACAACTGCAGCGTTATCCGAACTTACTGCGGCCACGGAGTCGGCAAGCTTTTCCACTGCCCTCCCAACGTCCCTCACTACGCCAAGAACAAGACTGTTGGAGAGTGCAAGCCCGGGATGACCTTTACTATTGAGCCCATGATTGCTCTGGGCAAGTATAGAGATATTACCTGGCCTGATAACTGGACCAGCACCACCATCGATGGAAAGCTGACAGCTCAGTTTGGTGAGTCTCCCTTGGAAGTGTGGTAATGACATAGGCTAATATGAATCGCAGAGCACACCCTTCTAGTTACAGAAGATGGTGTTGAGATCTTGACCGCGAGACAGCCAGATTCTCCTGGTGGCGCCCTACCGATGCCTGGCACCGAGAACGGAGAGACCCAGGCATAGAGTGTTATGAATGTTGTTAGAAATCATATGGTTTGGCGATATCATGTTCTGGAGTTGTTGGGGATGGGGGTTGTTGGCTGATGGACGGTGCATTATCATGGCGGAGTAGTGAGGCATGAAACCAAAATTGATATATTGACACAGTTCTGCTTATTTTTGAGTGATTGATAGTCTTCTCTCAGCGTTATTGCAGAAGCATGTGAAACCATGATGTTTATGTGGTAATCGACGTTGATCAGCCTTGCTTGGGCAGTTTGGTCAAGTCAGGCCACACGTCGTTACATCATTGTCGATGTCCGTGGTGCATATCCCCGGATGCAGGCTTATCTATCTGTGGAGTGACGCAAATGGCTCTCGCTGTCAAAGTTGGAGAGTAATAAACCCTGCGTCTCAAAGGCTCAGTGAGACTGTGAACCCTCCCAGTCACATGCAGGCGTCACTCGGCCACGCCATCCGCCGTGGAAGGCGTTTTCAGCACAGGGGATCAAGGCAGAGGTCGCCGGGATTACAGGGGGTTCTCAGCACAATGTCCCTGCTGTCAGCTTCGAGGGTGTGCCCTGAGCAGTCGCCGCTTCCATCATCGCGGCTAGTTTTTATCTGACCAGCCCAGGAACCTAACTTAACCTAACCTCTCCAGGTCCACCTCCACCATATCTCCACCAGAACTCACCACCGCTACCACTCCCACTAATAAGTTACCATTTCCACACCATCCATTGCCCGCCACCAAGATTTCTCCTCTTCCACTCTGTTATTCCCCTCACGCTCCGTGACTAAAGAAATCTTTGCTGCAAGCCAACTTTGGCATTTTCAGCTACCCAGAGCTTTTCGCGAACTGTACCACTCCGAAGCTTATCATCCCTCGCCTTGCACCGCGATCTGCAGCCTGTGACAGAGCTTGTCAAACAGCTGTCCTCGACCGACATCGTCATCCCAACTCGATCACCAATCCTCAACGTCACATTTACACTTTAGCCCAACATGATGTCTGGAGAAGCTTGGCTGTTTTTGTTGTCGGTGCTTATCAACGCCGTCAACCTCTTTTTACAGGTTTTCTTCACTATTATGTACAGTGATTTGGAATGGTATGGTTCCCATGGTTTTTGCAAGCGCTGCTGTCAGGGTGTCAAACTTTGCGCCTCAGATGCGCGTATTTGAAGCATTTGATGAGATGAAAACTAATCGCATATGGTAACAGTGATTACATTAACCCCATTGACCTCTGCAATCGACTCAATACCTATATCATCCCCGAGGCTGCTGTGCACGGTTTCTTGACCTTCCTCTTCCTCATCAACGGTTACTGGATCCCTCTCATTCTCAACTTGCCTCTCCTTGGCTGGAACGTCAAGAAGTATGTCGACTACACCCCGAGTTCTGCGACAATAGACTGACCGTTGCTAGGATTGTCGACAACACTCATCTCCTCGATGCGACTGAGATCTTCCGCAAGCTCAATGTTCACAAGAAGGTATGTGTTCTAGCTTGACTCGTAGCAAAGCGCAGCATTAACCCGACAACAGGAATCTTTCTTCAAGCTTGGCTTTCACTTGCTCATGTTCTTCTTCTACCTCTACAGCATGATTGTTGCTCTTATCCGAGACGAGTCCTCCTAAAATGCTACCCCTCTCAAATGAGCCGCGGTCCGATATCACCGATGTTAGGCAACGTTTGGCTACGTCAGATAGGACAGATTGCAATAGCTTCACAAGCTGGTCGAGTTCAGCTGACACCCAGGGCCGAGTCGACTAGTCACGCGACGACAAGAACAAGAGAACACGATATCAGTCTGCTACGGCAGTACACAACGAGTGGAAGACAGTATAGATGATGATGATAGCTTTTTTTTAAGAGGCGGGCTTGGCGTATATATCCTGGTATCATGCCAGCTGGCGCTCTGGTTGATTACTTCATGAAGGCGGTGGGTGGCATGTTCTGTTGGAGACTGAGGCATTGATCGCGCTTGGTGGCGGCCGCGTCCCGTCGTCCTTCAGCGTTTGAGCCCGGTGTGATAATTGATGAATGACCGAATAAAATGGCCAGTTTCGATGCTTTGGATGAAATGTATAGTCTCTTTATGTATAGTATACGACTTACAACTCATTACAAACATTGCTCGTATCAGTTGAGGTACTCGGGCTTAAACGGCCAAACCCTGCCTTTGGGAAGACAACTCAGGGCCTTTATCCTAAAGGACAAAAGAAAACTTGCGTAAATTCAGCATAGATATGATAGGCCTCGGATAAGATTAGGCACCTGCTTTTAGGAACCTTGGAAATTTTCTCCAATTTCTTGCTCCCCGTGTACCTGCGAAGTGAAACATGCGACTGCGATCAAAGTCACGTGACTGTTTCTGCTTCGCGATCTGCTCTGTCGCGCTTGATAGAGCTTGACTGCCTATACTTTGCGACGTTCAAACTCTACCAATCATCTACGCTCCTTCCCTTCATCATCCCCTTCCCTATGTCTAGTTGAGATGCCCTGATCTTCAACTAGCAATCAATCAATCAATCAATCAGTTTTGCACAAGTTCACCGAGACTTTTTAGCGTTTCCACCAATAAGCTGAATAGCGAGGCCATCATCGCAGAAGTCAGAATCAGACAAGGTTTATCTGCTTTAATGACTCGATCGCTGCCTTAACCAAGCAGTACAAATATAGTTAACTCCTTTGGTTTCTTCATCATCAGCAGTTGGGACAACCTTTTCCTCAACCCACCCAAAGGCGGATTTCCACCATCATGGCGGATTTTGGCGAATATCCGCCAAATATGGCGCCGCAAGATGCGCTCATAGTTCGAGAACAAGCTGAACCTGATCATGCTGTTGTGCCTTACTCGGCTGAAGATCTATCACGTCCCAAGGCTGGACCATTGAACCCGTTCAAGGACGAGAACAACATTCTGAAGCGCAAGAGCGTCCCAACTGGACATGCAGAGGAGACTTTCCTAAGCGAACACACATTCCGGAGCAAGCATCGTGCTATCGAGCGACGAGGTGGCCCTGAACGAGAGTACCAGACGAATGCAGAGCAAAAAGCAGAGGCTGCCAGGATACGAGCTGGGCGAGAGAGCAAGGGCAGCGCAACGATTGCGGAGGGACCTGGGTCTTATGTCGGGCCTTGGGCACGATACAAAAAGGCAGAATACGAGGTTGTTGCGGACGACGAAGAATTGGCGAGCGATGAGGAATATGAGATTGTCGAAGAGGAGGAAGAGGTAGTCGAGAGTGGAACAATTGTCAAGGCACCGACCAAGGCTTTGGAACGACGGAAGGAGGCCGAGGAGATGGGTGACGAGACGACGACGTTCCACGGATCCGCCGAGTACGATTACCAGGGTAGGACTTATATGCACGTTCCCCAAGACTTGGACATCGACCTTCGAAAAGAAGTGGGAAGCATCACCAACTTTATTCCCAAGCATCAGATTCACTCTTGGAAGAACCATTCCAAGGCGATCACCGCGTTGCGCTTCTTCCCTTCGTCTGGACATTTGCTCTTATCAGCCAGCGCCGACACTACCGTCAAGATCTTCGATGTGTACCACGAGCGAGAGCTCTTACGAACATACTCTGGACACTCGAAAGCTATTTCAGATATTTGCTTCAACACATCGGGCACTCAGTTTCTCTCTTCTTCTTACGATCGCATGATCAAGCTCTGGGATACTGAGAAGGGTGTTTGCGTGAGCAAGTTCACGACTGGCAAGACTCCTCATGTCATCAAATTCAACCCTGATCCTGAGCATGCGAATGAGTTTTTGGCCGGTATGTCGGATAAGAAGATTGTCCAATTCGACATTCGAACACCGAACGAGGTTGTCCAGGAGTATGATCACCACTTAGCTGCCATTAACACCATCACATTCGTCGACGAGAACCGACGCTTTATGACAACTTCTGACGACAAATCCCTCCGAGCATGGGACTACAACATTCCCGTGCCCATCAAATACATTGCTGAACCAGATATGTACCCTATGACCCGCGCAGCTCCCCACCCCAGCGGCAAATACGTCGCATATCAGAGTTCCGATAACCAGATTCTCGTCTATGGCGCAAACGACAAGTTCCGGCAGAACCGAAAGAAGAGCTACCGCGGTCACAACAACGCTGGTCTTGGCATCGATCTCGACTGCAGTCCTGATGGACAATTCCTTGCTTCAGGTGACTCTGGTGGTTATGTATGTTTCTGGGACTGGAAGACGTGTAAGATGTATCACAAGTTCAAGGCCGGTAACCAGGCTGTCACCACTGTCAAGTGGCATCCTCAAGAGACCAGCAAGGTGGTTACGGCGGGTCTGGACGGTGAGATTAAGTATTGGGATTAGAGGATGTATCATATGATGGATGGATGGACTGCATGGCATGGCATGGCGTTCGGGATCAGAAGAAAACACATACAATTTACTGCATTGGGCACTCGATGATTCTTTGACAAGCTCGGAGAAGAAAACTGAGGGCCTATATTCCAAGTGACGAAAATACATAGGCGGGTTTGGGATATCTTAGTATGTATTTAGACCACTTAATCTTGACAGTCAAGAGTTTTGCTTTCCTGGGGATCAGGCCCCCTTTTTGCTCTTGTGTGCCCGCGTGGCATGCTGATATTGATCCATCAGACGCCTCTTTCCTTTGACCAGGTTTCCATTCTCATCATAGTACTCCCATCCCTCATCGTCCCAAACGGTGTTCTTCTCGACGTAAGCATTCGAATAGCCATGCTTGTCAGCTTGCCAGTCTCCGTATTCCTCTTCATCGTCCGAAATCTCGCCCACCTCCTCAATCACAAATGTTGTACCCGTAGCAGGGCCAAAGCCATAGGGAAACCACTTCAGAGCTGCCGCTTTTCTAGCTTCCTTCTCGCGTTGGATATCTCCAGGTGCTGTGCTTTTCGCTTCGGGGCGCTTCTTGCTCTTGGTCAGATTGTAGAATTCCTCAGGGTTGGCCTGCACGTCTTTGAGGGCCTGCTTGGCTGCCTCTGAGCCGAGATCGAGGTGGATGACGTAGCAGGGAATCATGGCTCGTTCATTGTGGACGATGTATTCAAACCCCCCGTCGAAGTGCGAGTCATGACCTTCAATCAGGGGACCATGGCGTCCGTCACTCCCGGTATATGTTCGACCCATGATAGTAGCGCAGACAAATAACCGCATACTAGGCAGCATGCCGACTGGGGTCATCTCTCTCTGACCGCGAGCATAAGATATAGCATAGAAGGCTTCTTGGGATGAGTAAATTCCTCGATCAAATACTATGCCCGATCTAGGAGAAGCGATTACTTTCCCTTCGACTAATTTCCCAGGCATCTTGAAACCATGGCGGACAATCGATCCTACTGACTGAAGGGGAGTACCGTGGAAAGTCACACGAGGAGAAGTCATGTCCTGAATAACAGTCTCGTGGCTAAGTTGGGCTCGGACTCGGCCCGCCAACTTCGAATGAGGCGGAATCCTGTCTCGTAGACTCGTCCCGCACGATCTCAGGTCTGTCTCCAGTGACTCCTGGTAGCTCCAGAACCGTCGGACGAGATCATGGCGAAGTACAGATTCCATATGAATGACTCTCCATTCTTTGGGGATACCAGCTGTCAGTTCCTCGGGCGTTTTATGGAGGATTGAGTAGGCTGTGTCTTGGATGGTTGATACATCGAGGCCGAAGGGGTTGTTGATAACTTCATTCCAGTCTGACACTTCGTCTGCTGCATATCCTTTTTCGTACTTTTCTGGCTTGAAAGACTGTCGTGCCAGTTCAAATTCGTGAATTGCTTCCAACATCTGGAGGATGGCGATTTGCAGATCAAACTCCCTAACATGACAAGAGTCGTCTCCAAGGGCTGTTCTCATGATGTAGCGGACTTCTTCGCGAAGAGGATCTATCGACTTTCTCGAGAATGACCGATAAGTATCAATGATTTGACATGAAATCATGGTCTGATGGTCCGCTGAGAGAACAACCTGCATGGCTAGTTCAGCGAAACTGAAGTAAAAGACATCACTGCCAGAATTATTCTGGTGATTCGACCAGTCCGTCACACTTTCAGGAGCGTTTCCCTCAATTACCGTGTATTCGCCCATGATTTGTGATTTTTGTTGTCTCCTTTCAAAATTGTTCGTCAATGTATGTGGAGATAGCTGGTGATCTTGGAGGATTGATAGTATTGGGAAGATGGAGGCATTGAGATAGAGAGAGAGGCTGCTTCGTGTTGCGAAAAGAATATGTAGCTTTGCTGGAGAAAATGGTTCTATTTTTACTGGCATAATATAAATGTTGTGTTTCACGAATCGTCGCTATGCTTCGTCGGTGATTGACTCATACGGTATCTTTCTTGAGGCTCAGCTTGACTTAGTGTAGGCAGACACCCGGGTGACTCCCACAATGAACAAACAGCGCAGCAGTTGAACTTGTGATGTTCTATCAACTTTTGAAATCCTTTCTATATAGTTCTCAAGTTTGTCTCGAAAGGCACGAAATAACAAGGAGGAATGGCCAAAACGACCTGTCTTGGAGCACAGAGAATTTATGTCTATTAATAACAAAAGAACATCATGACTGACAACTGACCCAAAGTTTAGGGTGACGCTTCTCATCATTTTTATTATTTCAACGCCTGTACCTAGAGTGGTTGCTCTTCTTCGCCCAAAGCCGCTCCAATCTCCCATCTCCCATCTCCCATCTCCCATCTCCCATCTCCCANATCTCCCATCTCCCATCTCCCATCTCCCATCTCCCATCTCCCAAAGAATGACCCCATATCCAGTGAAATACAAATCCAACATCAAACAAAAGCCGGAAGCGTCAATCTTGTCTCGAATGCTGGAACCAAAGCCATCTTTGCAGTATCAAAATCAAGCAAAGCAACGTGCCACTCACCACATTCCTCTCTCATCCTCTTCTGTCCACCCAGAGCATCCTCCACAGCGACATCTGAACCCATAGCGATAGAACAAGTCGGCGGGAGTCAGCCCGCAACCATACGAGATGGTCAGCTCCTCTCCTTCTTTGATAACGTCTGCCTTGACTTCCATCTCAAGTACCTCGCCAGCCTTGTTGTAGTGGTATTCAACGGTCTGTCTCGGATGACATGTGTGATTGAAGCGTGACGCAATAGGGAAAAGGCCTGCTTCGTCCCAAACACCTGTTGAAAAGCTAAAGGCACTATCAGATCTATCTCCTTCGTTCCTCAACTCTCAACTTACCAATTTGTAGTCCAGACGGCCTTGATGCTCTGGAATTTACAATAGCTATTAGCATGAAGGCCCAGCGCAATGTCCTGCGATTCCCGGTCCAGTTTGTCGAATTCCTTGTACAGCGTGTTGTTATCGGCAGTGAATAGTGGTCTCTCGACGAGAATCTTGTCTCCAACCTCGAGGTCTTTGACTGCGAAGGCGCCCCATCCCGCGATGAGAGACCGCTTGACGATGAAAAAGTCATTTCGAAAGAGAACATCCGTAGTGGCAGATGGAGTCAATGGCAAGCCAGCCGGTTCCATGGCAGTAATTTCAAGGCTTTCGATCGGTTCCAGGGGCTTCAGAGGAGGAAAGCGATAGACGTACTCAAACGGCTCGTCTCGATGAGCTGTGACATAGCGGATCAGACTAAGGGGCAATGTCAACACAAACGACTTCCTCAACAATTCCTCAGTGCCTTACTCGTCTGTTGTTTCTTCATTCTCATCATCCGATCCGAAATCAAATTCCGAACTCGACGAAAATTCCGGTTCGGAACCTGAAGTGTCCCCATACTCAGTGGCTATGTCATCAAAAAGCTCTTGTTCATGGTTCTGAGGTATTTCGTCGCTAGGTGGTAGATGGACATCATCTGCAGTAGATTCCGAGAGAACTTCCTTCTTTAGATGAGCTTCAGTGGTCTAGCAGAGTTTGTTAATCCTGGGAGTAGTGTAGTTTGGAAGTGGTTGCACCTCTTTCTCTTTGTCATCGCATGGTTTAGTTCCATCGCTGCCCCGATCCAGCTCTAGCTTGGCAAGAAGATCAAGAGTCGGAATATCTTCAATACTTGATGATGATAGGGTTGGACCGAGGACAGGCTCATCGGGTGGCTGAGGGATATTGTCACCCATGATGGGTAGGCACAACGAACGACGACGACAAAGAAGAAGTGATGGCTGGTATTTGAGGCAAGGCTTCTCCCGTATGGAAGCAAATAGAAGGTTGAAGGAAGAGAATGAAAATAGCTGAGGTGAAGGTTTGATTGCTTATATATGTATTGTTGAGGAGTGATTGTGAATCACGGAGGACTCCTTGAGCATTGATGTGGGCAACAATGATGCAGACAGCGATTGAGTTGTCGAGATTAAGTTAACTTCATAGCTGTGGCAGATAATAATGAATACGGAGTAGCTAAAAAAGAATGGAAGATCAGAAATACTACCTATATAAGGCCTTGAAAGTCTTTCCCAACATACATCTACCGCTCTGCAAGTAACAATAAAACACCCAATAAAGTCCAGCAAACCTCCAACCCCAATCATCCTCATCGATGAAACATTGTTCATTTCACTGCAACCATGTGACTACGGAAAACAATCTTTCCTAAGAATACAGAGCAAAGGAGGAGAAACTGGGCTTCTATTGCACGATTACCACAGCGAAACGCGTGAGGTCAGGTGATGACACACGGCTCGCATCTCCGGTGTGGCCAGCTTTGGGCCTCATATTCTAGACATGAGGCGAGAATAAAAGATGCTGATCATGGATATTGCTTTGATAGATTCTGGATTACCCAAGTTGTAGTATGCATTGTGCTGGCTCATCCGGTGAACAATTGCGGCATACCACGTTGCTTCTAGAAGGATGTCAATATTTCTAGCTTTTCATCTCTGAAATTTTAGTACAATGACTACGTTGGTTATGTTTTCCCGTCTCAAGCAGTAATCGGATTCAAAGAGTAAAAATGATTATAATTCTTTGCTAGTAACATGTCAAACTCCCTGGTGCTAACATGGATATCGATATCTAGTTTTCCATATCCCGGATGTACTCTTGCCCTAGTTTCTTGTAAGTGTCCCTTAGATTCGACCCATGCATGACTCGATCTGACTAACCTCAACTCCGTGTATACCTTGAAACTATAGCCCTGTTCTATCTGGGGGCCTCTATCTGGCAGTCTCCATCATACATGCATGCCTTTCGATTGCTGATGCTTGTCACCTAGAGTCCCTGATGTAATAGGACACAATGCTGGGGTCGCGCAGACGAATAGTCACAGCCACACCACCTTCTTTTGGGCCGCAGTGGGCAAGTTGAAGAGCAGTCTGGACACTGAAGGCAGTTAGGTTTCTGCCACACACGCCGACATCGGCATACCCAGAGGTCCAGGCCTGTTCTCGTCACGATGCAGTCAGATGGTGCGTGAAGTCCAGCCTTTACTCCACATCCGATACAGAAGCGGCGGAGGGGCACAAGCCGGTCTTGAGGTCCCGCCTCCTGCTCCGGTACCAACCGGCCTTGTGGGTCAAAGTAGGCCGTGTTGGCTTGTAACACATCAAAATGTTGCGGACTCCGTACACGGAAGCACCAGTAGCACTCTAAGTTTCCGGGTCTCTGATCTTTCTTTTTCTCACTGGCCCAGTGTTGTGGAAAGTCCTTTGCTGCTCTCATGACCAACTCAAACTTGTCTCGTAGTGTTGCCGTGCGTGGGGGGTCTACTGTACGATGAAAGTGTCGGTTCACCATGGACAGGAAGATGAGAGACTGATAGTCCAGGTTCGAAAAAATGAGCCTCTGCACGTCGTTGGGAAGCCGTTCTAATAGCGATAGCTTGTTTGTGTGAAGAACTTTTGGTAGCCAGGTTGGACAACTCGATGCATACTTCTTCTTCTGGTGGGAATATGAAGGGCGATTGAGCTCAGGTTCAAATGCTCGGCCAACGGGGCCAGCATGTTGTCGTGGGATCAAAAGCATCGCTAATTAAGAAAAATTCAGTAGAAGTATGTGTGGCCTCGATAACGTTCTGTGGGAGAGATGCGCTTCTATAAATGACTACCTCAGCCAAGGAGGGGGACAGACAGGGAAGTGGATGACATCCAACAATATCCATACCAACCTACCTTATGCACGCCTCTGATGGCAAGCAAACAAATAGTTGCGGCACCCAAGATTTCACGTCGGATATGGGTCGAGGTGCAAGGGTGTTTGTGGTTCGTTCTCTACCCGACAATCCTTCAACATTATAGCTGTTGGTTGTGCATTGGGGCTGAGACAGGCAGCTCGTTAAGGTAGTTGAAAGGTATCTTCTCTGCGCCTGATATTTACCCAACACTACTTCCTTTGTCATTGGCACTCAAGGTGAGTCATTGGCCATCAGATGGACGCTGATTTTTGGTACATCTGATATGGACCAGCTATGTCCTGGCTCATGGTGTCATTCTGCCTTCGTGTTTGGTTTGATATTTAGATCCTAATGAAGCCATTTGCTGCTCAGTGTTTCGTTTCAATGGCCAGCAACCGACTGCATCATGCACGCAACCCAACATATACAAGCCTGTTTCCAAGCCAGCCTTTCACTCGACAGATGCTGTAGTGTGTGTCCTTCCCATAAACTCTTATGGAAAGGTGAAATCCTATATCTGTGCCCTAGAGATCGGGCTGACCCTGGTCCAATTTGCGTATGGAGACGAGAAGACACTGCTGGCGAAGCGAAGCTCTTAGACGAATGACGGCCGGCCCGGGCCAACCCAACACGACAAGAGACAACGGCACACAGTTGGGGCGGCTGGCCGCGTCCTCATTTCTGCTTCCAGCATCGACTATTATCCACATAGTTGCAGCGGAACCAGTCCCCCGACCGACGCCTCTTATCATGTGAATGGAAGGCTCATGTGGGTAAGTCGCACTATCACTGTGATATCCAAACTGTCGGGTCAAGCTAGGCCTGGTTCATCTGCGGGTGAGTCCAACACACCGAGAAAACCACCTCTGCTCATGCAAGTCGCAATTTTGGGACACTCGCTCGCATCCTTCCACTCGCTTCGAGTCATTTTCAACCGTTATGATTGAACCAGGATCTGGAACTCGTTACCTGCGCTCCGCACATCTTCTACCTGAAGGAACACTCTTTGTTGCATACTGGGATCAGGCATCGAGCTTGTTTGCTTGATAGATCAGTTTATGCCAGCAATGTCAGAATTTGGCCTGAGCTGCACTTGGAGACTTGATCAAGACTGCTGAAAAATATGGCCTTGGCATGCGACGAGTCGTACTCTTGCTGGTCATATCGCACCAGCCCAACAACGCGTCTCGTTACCTCCGGTGGTTTTAGCGACGAGATAGGCACGTTGGCGGGCATTTCTTCTTCTTTTTTTTTTCCCGCATGGCACAGGCGCCTGAGAAGTTTGTCACCTCTTCTCGCTTCGTCCTGTGCCTCACTCTTCGGATACGATTTTCAAGACGTCGACAAATTATCGACCCCCTGGTTGGCAAGAATCTGAGGGGTTTAAGTCGAGCAAAAGACTTTCCAGAGGCATTCCCGGCCAAGAAGGAGCCTAGCTTACGCCTCGTCCACTTGAAAGCAAACAAACGATGTGTAGAGACTGAAGGTATCGCAGGCAGGCCAAAGGGTGTGGAATCCAAGCATTGGGGCATCTGCTGCCTGCCTGTACTAAAGCACTGGGGTGATGCGACGGATCAGTCATGCCCCCAAAACCCCGAAACTCGATCGATGTGGTAGAAGCATAGCATGTCCATAGTTGTTCCGATCAATAGTCGGCAAAGCTCCCACGATAAGACCCCATGATAACGAATATTTCCACATAAAGGCTTCTTCGCTATGCGAGAGAATGAGGTTGCGACAGCATATATTGGTTCGTTCGGGTACTTTTTTCACGATAAAGCAAGAGCTGAAAGCGTGGAAACCAAAAAGTGCGACGCGCTGCTGTCTGTTATCCTTGTCAGGTAGGACTGGGTAAATATGCTTGCCTGCAGCATGGTGGCATTCGTAACGAAGTGTTTCCTGGATTGTTGATTGAGAAATTGGCGCCGATCATCAAATGTCTCATTCACTTTAGTGTCCTACACCAAAATACGATCTGCGGAGGAGCAGAAATTGAGTGTGACATTCCACCACGAAAACAGGTCTGAGCATTGTGTGAATTGTCCCATCCTCTGCCCTGATGAACTGGTTGCTACTATATTAGAGACACAAATAGTACCAAGTACAATCAGGTTGATGGCTGCATGACGAGGGTTTGCGGCAGGCAAATATGATTACATCGAGGCCATTCATGGAATGGCTGATGGCTGATGGCACCTCTTTGTGGCAACCAAGCATCCCCCAAGGTACAAAGAAGATCCTCTGGCTGTGTGCTGGCAGGATTTGGCCCAAACACCTTCAACACAGCCCCAATGCCAACTTGAAATGCGATCCAGTGACTCCGCAATGTTGCTGTAGATCCTGACCAGAGGGCCTGTTTCAGATACCAGTGCGACCAGGGGTCCGCGCTTAAACGTCATAATAAATTCGAGCCCCAGTCATCTTTGCACCCTGAATATCTGTCTTCTGGTGATGCCTTCAATATTTTCTTTGTATGCTCACGACGTTCTTTAACCCATTTGTGCTCCATTATGGCTCTGTTTGAATCCGCCAATTGCGATCGAAATGCGACCGCTCCAACAGCCAGCGATGCCGGCGTCGCAGGCGCTGGTGTAAGCTTCAATCCTAGCATATCGGAAGAAAATATAAGCAGGTGCTGACACACGACAGATCCTACTATCGTTCATGATCACGGCGCTGCTCGCCATCATATTATCGAGTAGCGTCATTTTTGCCGAAATGCGAGGGAGAGACTCGGTCATCCGGCGGAAGCTGCTCAACGGTTATAGCGACTCTCAAATTATGCAGGGAATTGGTATCCAGAGTGTTGGACTGGCCAAGATGAACAGTCTAGTGCCGTATCACTTCTTCCTCATATGGATGCTGTCACTCCTTTCTATGGCGACCCATAACACGACACTTTTGGCTCTTAAACAGGATTACCGCCGCGATTGGGTGATTCGATGGTTGCGACAGTTTCTTATGTTCGTCAATTTGGCGTTGTCGTGCGTTTCTGGCGTCTTTGTTCTCGAGGGTGTTTCAAAGGGTCTTGACGACAAAACTCTACCCATATCCTGCGTGTGGGAAGTTGAGGGCAAAGGCGCTGCCTCAAACGCTGGTCTTTCTTACGTCGGCACAATCGTTGTTATTGCTGGTAACTGCATCATCTTTGGCCTGGCGACCTGGTATCTTCACAGCAGGCAGCAAAGATTCTATAAGATCATCCAGGTTGTCGGGTTGGTGTTGATGACAGCTATTGCAGTTGGGGCAGCGATTCGGATTATCCTGCTTTCCCAAGCATTTGGCCACCCGTCGATCGAGCTCAAAGATAATGGCGAGACTGTATGGAGCTTCGGTCAGCTTCTCTCCATGCTGCTTCTTATCCTTCCATTGGTAAACGTCATTGAGATCTATCGAGGAGAGATCCAAGTCCCAGGCCCAATTCGAGACGAGCGAGCCAAAGTATATGACGGCGAACTCCAGGATAATCCACAGGGGTCACGGACAAATCTTTTCCAAAAGTAAGAAATGAAGCCGGGAAGCATATCTTGGATTGGGAGGGAGACCGCGAATTTGGTCTTATGAATGGGAACGAATGCAGGGACTGTGATGAAGGATAGGCTTTACTGCACGAAAGATACCCTCTTTTCTTGCTATTCTCAACAAGTATTTAGAGATTTGAATCATCCTCTCGGATTATAAGGACTAGTTTGCGCTGGGCGTAGCTTCCTACCTACTAACTTAGTAATTTGGGCATCTACTAAGCCCCCAGCCTTAGTACCTAAGGTACAGAAAATGAAATTGACCTATTGCGCTTGCCTGTACTATCTCGACGGTCTTCGATTACTCGAATTGGAGTGGACGTCCATCCACCGGGTAGCACATCCATTCCATCCATTGCTTGAGGCTCTCGATGCAATCGTCACAGTTGCTGATCTCCATGCAGTTGCCAGCGCACCTTGTAAGTAGCGGTAATATTCGTTAAATAGTTATGATCCAGGCATTGTAATAACAGTCACGGAGGGAGGCCTCTGACGCGGAAACGATATCAATTGTCATTTCTCATTCGCGTCGCCCTTAAATATGCCCCTTAATTGGTTCTCAAGAGATATTTATGATAATATCACAGCGAGGTCTTCATACAAAATTATCATAAGAATATTTATTTGTATTTGTTATTGATTCTAAGCATTTGCGTTCCATTATCGTTCAACTCGTCTATTGGACTACGCACTTGGCTGGCAGTCCACAAGGTCCCTCCTTGACCTCCTTAAGCTCTTGGGGTCCCTTGTTCTCCTGTTTGGGAGCAGTGGTATCCTTTTCAGCCTCGGCAGGCTTGGTGGTGTTCGATGCCACCTCAGGCGCAGCCTTGGCTTGGCTGCTGCCATGCAGTCAACCGGTGAACTTGGCAACGGTCTGGTAGAAGTTCTCTCCCTGGATCTGAGCAAGCTCGAGCTCCTTGGCAGAGGGCTGGCGAGAACCGTCACCACCAGCGAAGGTACCGGCGCCCCAGGCACTGCCACCACGAACCTCAGAGAGATCAGTCAGGACACCGAAAGCCTTGGCGTAACCGAAGGGGACATAGATGATGCCATGGTGAGTGAGGGTGGAGATAGCGTTCTGAGCAGTGGTCTCCTGACCACCACCCTGGGAGGCGGTAGAGACGAAGATACCGGCCATCTTGCCCCAGAAACCACCAGAGGCCCACTGCTTGCCAGTCTTGTCCCAGAAAGCCTTCCACTGGGCGGGGAAGTTTCCGTAACGGGTGGGGATACCAAGGAGGAAAGCATCGTAGCCCTCAAGGACGGAGGGGTCGTCGAGGGTAGGAACATCGGTGGGCTTGGGAGGAGCGTGCATCTTGGCGAGGACATCCTCGGGGAGGGTCTCGGGGACCTGGAAGAGGTCGGCAGAGCCGCCGGCCTTCTCAATACCGGCCTTCTCAGCCTCGGCCAGCTGCTTGATGTGGCCGTACATGGAATACTACGAGATATGTTAGTGTTCTGTGGTGATGATAAAGCCACGAGTGGAATGTTGTATGAGCGTAACTACAGACAAGCCATTGAACAGTGCAACCTTGGTTCACACTCATTGTCATATATGGCAGTCTCAAGCATCCCACAAGAGCAACAACCATAGTTTGCTGATCATGAAGAGATGATGGTGGTGGGGCTGGGAATGACAAGATATGGAGGGGTGAAACATACGTAGACGATAGCGATCTTGGGAGCCATTGTGAATGACTGACTTGTGGGGGGTATCAAGTAAAGAATAAAGAAAATACAACGGATAGAGATGCGATGAGTACTGAGTTGATAAGACAGAAAGTAACGAAACAGCAGAAGAGGGGAGGGTTCGTCTTATAGCTTGAGGGAGAGCTTGTTGGAAGCTTCTACATCTGGGAACTGGGATCTTATCCACAAAATGGTACGTATCATGCACCTAAGGAGAAATGAGCCGGGCGCCCATGATATCATTGGTGCAACTCTGCCAGTTCCGGAATCTACGAACGCGTGGATGTGGGATTGGGGATTGAACCGGTAACACCTTGAGAGAGCTCTCAAGAAAAAGTGGAGGTGAAGCTCGGGATGTCCCTGAATCATGACATCTGTGACATGCAAGACAATTGCTTCCGTAACTCAATCTTTCTTCTTGAATTGGGAGGCTAATCAGCCAGAGCTAATCTCTCCTAACTGTTAATTCCTACCACGATGCCTCTGATACTCAATTCCTCCAAACCTATATCATGCGTCGCCATATTCTTCAAAACAACTTCAACTTCTTCTTCAACAATACCCCACCTCGATCGAGAATGCCCCATAATTAACCCCCCCCTAGAAAAGCATCTTTGCTGAGTCAAGGCTGATGTGTGCTTAGCAGAAGACGCTTAGCTTCTATTACACGAGCCTGACAAAACATACTCAATGCGGGGACGTCTCTGTCCGACTGCGCGCGGTTATTGCAAATCTTATGATTTCTACCTTGTCTCTCTATCTTATCCAACCATTTGATAAGCCAGTATGCTTCATTCTGCAATTTTTGTAAAGGACTTCAGGCTTCTCACTCCGGCACTTGCTGCATCCGGTTTCCTGTTTCGATGCTTGTATATCCGTTACCCACATACCATCTCACCTCATCATTCTTCTTGATTCTACAACATCATCTTCTTCTTCTCCTTCTGTCTTTTTTTCTCACCGACATCCTCAATCTCATGCTGATGCACGATTAGCATGTCTTCAGTGGATCTCAAACCGTCGTCTTGATTATTCTAGGCCCCTTGCAGCTGAAGCTCCGCTGAACCACTTGCCCCGTTACCAACCGCCCTCGAGCATCCACTCTCGCCTTATCAATGGAACGACTCTGCATATAAGTCTCATGCCAGGACCCTCACTTAGTCGGTAACACTCTCAAGCTTGACTTGAGGCTTACGATTAACTTACAAAGGCTCGTGCAAACGTGCTATCAAATTGTATTATCACATGATAGCCTTTTGCATACTGTGTAAGTGCGCTCGCTCTAGAGTCTGACATTTTCTGTACATCAGCTATCTCTCACATCGAAACTCAATATCTGCCAATATCAACGCCACACTGTAAGCGGTACTCAAAAGTATCAATATGAATGCCGCCTCTGAGGCCCAACCTCGTCCTAAAAAGCCTGCCATTCAAGAGATTCAACCCAATCCAAACTCCATGCTTTCGTTAGATGATTTGGTACATTGAGAGTTCAAAACTCTAAGCAAATTCCATATGAGACGTTAAATAGAAATAGGAAAAAAGAGCTAAAAGAAAGACTTCATTTATCATCGGTGTGGTGATCGTTGCTCGTCGTCTCGTGGATGTGCGCTTGATGGTTCAATCACGATCTCAGGGAGTTGCGGTATTCTTAAGCTGGGGAGTTGCGGCGCACTACCATTGCTTTGACCTCTTGGTGGGCTGTTGCTCTGTCCATCTGAAGCTGGGTCCATCTCATGCCAATCTGACCCAAGATCCCGCTCCGTAGTTCGCTGCGTTCTCTGCGATGAGGAGCGTTCAGGGCCAGGATACTCAGGCGGGGGGCCGTGAGTTGAGGATCGGTCATCATTGAGTGGTACATCCTCGTACTCGGGAGGCGGCATCGCCTCTTCACCAAGATCTGCTTCTACCAATTCAGGACTCGAGCCAGCTCTGCCATCTGCACTGCCTGATCGAATAGAAGCTCCTTGCGAACGTGTAGGCGCCAGACTTGCGAAGTCGTCGTCATGACTAGCAGCAGAGCTATAGCTGCGCCCCCGTTGATGTCCCGATTGCATGCTCGCAGCATCAGAGAGCAGGCCAACACGCTCACTCTCGCTACTGTTTGCTCTAATTCTCGTTCCGTCATGCCGTGCAACACCAACGTCTGCATATGACACACTTGACACAGATCTCTGCCTGTTGTCCTTGATCTGGTCCACAGTAGTTCGTAGTTCGGCAATAGTGTTGTCCTCGTTCGCAGCACGAGTCTCAGCTCTGATCGTCTCAAGCTCGCGATAGTCGCTTCTGAGCCGTGCCTCGCGGCGTCGCTCTCTACGCTCCTCACGCTCGGCGAGGGCTTGTCGTCGAGCTAGTCTGATCTGGTAGAGAGTCTCCATTTCTTCATTTCGCGCTTCTTCCTCTGCCTCTGCAGTTGGCAGGTCGATGATCACATCCACGCCATCTCGCTCGCCTTCTCGTCCCAGGACCCTTTCATTATGCCCTGCGCTCTGTCGATACGCCGGTAATGTAAGCACAGAGCGGACGGAAGTATTTCGGTCGACGGTTGCGCCAGCGTTGGTACCGTTATTGGTACTGTTGCGACTTTGTCGGTTATTGGTCGAAGTAGCAGTGGGATCGAGCTGATGTGATTGTCTTCCACTCTCCCCGCCATCTTCGCCTGCTGTCTGTTCGTAATTGCCCTGCCCCGATCGACCTCTTATTCGTTCAAGAAAGCCTCCCTTCTTTTTACTTTCTGTCGGCTTCTTCTTTTGTCGCGCCTTCGTTATGCAAACAGCCAAAGTAATGGCTACCACTACACCGGCAATACTACCGATAACCTGCACGTTGAGGCATGAATGTTAGCGCCATGGTAGGTCTCGGCGATTCTTCCACTCCAGTTGAACTTACAATAAAGACAACTGTATTATTGGTTCCCCCACCACCGTTGCTAGAAGGCGTTTCTCGAGGTTGAAGTGCGCTCTCAGTGGCATCCCAGCCACGCGGTATTGGAACGTTCAGATGCATTTCAGGCGGAATTGCACCATTCAGCAGAAGAAGGAGTTAGTTGTACTGATAATGAGATTGAATTGCCAGCGACAATTCGTCGGAGAGGGCGGATAGAAGAGGACCACGCGGTGGCGCGCCCGATTGGATGATCGATGCTTGCCGATACGAAGTGGGAGTACAGAGTTTGGTATAAGATTCAAATATTGCGGCAAAAGGCGTTGTTTCTGGGGAAGAAGGTTTGATTGACAGGAGATTGATTAAGAGGAACAGAACCACAACAGCAGAAGATGAAGACTATCGCCTCCAACTTCCAGGCAAAGCAAAGCAATGCAATGCAATGCACAGCACAGCACAGCACAGCACAGCCGCAGTTATCGGGCGCTCGCGAGGCGCGAGGTTGGTTGGTTGGCTTTCCCGTCCAGTCGGCTTGGCTTGGCTGAGCTGGACTGGATGTGAAATGGACCTGGGCCTGGACTTCTAGCAGGGGTGTTTCGGGACCTTTTACCCTTTATACTCACTGTGTGCTTCACTGATGGAAGCACAAAATGGGAGGAAGTAATATGATTACGAGTGTAACGAGAAGTTAAAAACGAGAAATTGAGATTAGCATTGACCAGAATAAGCGGATGAGCCGTCTCGTCCTGGTTTGCTCTGCTCTGTTCTGCTGTCAGATCAAAAATTGGCTAACGTAACTTTCATCGCTTAGGTACCTATCATCTGGTCCTTGACGACCATGACTTGTCAGTGGCCGTTAGGGTGGTGACATCAGTACATAAGCGGCTACGTAACTTAGTACAGGGCCAAGCTGTGGCCGTTGCTTACCTTGCCCTTGAGGGTTTGAGTGTCCTGTCTTGAAGGCTTGCTTATTAGAGCATTGGATGCTGAAGATCACATCGGCTGTTGTTTTGAATCGCCTGTCAAAGATGATCATATGGAATGGCAAGGCGTTGTGGCTGGTGTACAACAGGTACAAACTCTTATCTTGCCGCCATGTATCTCAAACTTGTACTCATCGACCGCAGTGTCGCACCCGATCCTTGAACGACAACTTGATCCCCAAGGAATAAGCATCAACGGGGCCCCAGTTCATTACGCAATCACTACAGATCTGCGGGACAATTCTCTTGAATTCTCTTGTTTTGTCCCTCATTTTCTTCGATAACGCCTCATTCTACTGTAATTCTGATGAGAGTTTAATCGGCTTTCAAACTCGTTTTCACATAGTACATATGTACATAGCTCAAAGCTCTCTTGTTACGTTCCATGCCATCAAGGCTCACTCTCAAGATCCCCCTCCACGAAGGGCTTTCTCCAGCCGCTAAAGATCACCAAAATACGCTACTGGAAGGCCCTGTCCCTTAAATCTGACCTTCCAGGGATGTGGCGTGGCTGGGGTGGCCCCTACTAAAGCTCAGCCTCCACACCCTTCTTCCGATACAATAACTATTGCTTCTGTCTAATCTTCGTCCATCAGGTCGGATTAGCGAAACTACTTGTGGGCAGTCTTGTTAATATCATTTGCCTTTTTTGAAAGCTTTGGTCACAACGTGTTCTTCTGAGATTATTATGGAGTATTTACTCCAGTGACTTTGCAAGGGTTGTCATAAGTCTTCTGTTAAGCAATGCACATTGTCGGGGTTTCCGTGATAACCACCAGCCTTTCTGAATATCACTATTTCTTCTTTAGTCGTCTTACATTCAGCCGTACAATGAGACCTTTATTCTCACATTTCCCCCTTGTCTAGCCTGCGGGATCTTGAAACACCAGCCTTTGATATCTTCTCCGAGCTTGTAAGCGTTACACAGTCGATTCAGGGACAGTGTTATACAGCATTCGCCGGGCCCTCTTGATAAGAAGTCGAAACCTAGTAGTATCGTTTTCCGAAATCTCGTTTTTCGCCTTTGAACAGGTTGTCAAGCTCTCAACTTTAATTATTAGTATTTTCAACAATGAGACTTCTATAGCAGGGTAGTTATCAACGATTAAGGCAGTACAAGACAGCTGCTACTTCAAGGTAAAGTCTTGATCCTCTGGATAGGCAGATTAAAATGAATGGTGATACTACATAAAATTAACATGTGAGAATAAAACGACCTTGAACTCCTGCTCCAACCAAGTTTGCATAAGTCACATGCTATTTTATCCAAACTTCTTCTCAAACTTCTTCAGCATGCCCGTCACGCCACGCTCCAATCGTCCCGCATTCTCCTCAAGTTTACCTCTTGGCTCCTTTGTCTTAGGCGCAAATGAGTAGATCTCGGAATTGGCCAATTCTGTCTGCGTTGGGCGGTAAACCTGCTGGTGGATTGAATATTCTGCACCTGGCTGGGTTGGCGCCTGCTGCTCTTGGTGTGTATAGTTGTACTGCGTGAAGCCTCCAGGAGGTGGTGGAGGAAGACCCGGGTTGGAAGCTGGCGGTGTTGGTTGCGAGTGAGGTTGAGTCTGGGCCGGAGGTTGAGTTTGTGGAGGAGGCGGGGGAGATACAAATCCAGGTGAACCTGGGAATGTTGCACCATATGGACTTCCCAATGCTTGAGCAGGCATTGTAACAGCTCTTTGCAATCCAGGATGCTGACCGAATTGAGGTGGAGGTAGTCCGGGACTTGTCACACCTCCCAGAGGGAATTGCGATGGCGGAGGCATGCCCGGCGTGAAAGGCTGCTTGTGGTAGTCATACGCAACAGCAACAGCCAACGGGTTGAGGGGATCCTCGTCCGGAGGCGGCGTCTTTTCCCGGTGCTGGATCGTCTCCGGAGCTGCTGGAGCGGCCGGGTTATAAGCCATCGGAGCAAAGCTGGCCGGTGCCTCGGAGGGCGGGGCTGGAGGCGGGGCGGGGACGTTGGGAGGAGGCGCAAAGCTCGGAGCGTTGGCTGAACCATATTGAGGGTCTGAGATGGCAACGTTCTCCAACTGCTGAACCACAGAGCTCATAGGCGCAGGTTGAGGGGGCGGGCCAGGCTCATCCAGGACTTCAACATGTGAAGGCGGAGCAACTCTTCTTACGCCATTGACAAACTGGAGCGCATCTGTCTGGGTCCAGAAGTAGATGTCAAGAGAGTGAAGCTTATAGTGGTACTTGTTTTGATTCTGAGGATCAAAAGTTGGTAGGTGCCATTCGTTTTGGTCCGCGACAGCTTCAGGTCCGGTCAGAGTCACGTTGCATTGTTGCTTGTAGGAGTATCGGACGTGTGTCTGATCGAGGTCTACAGGTTGGCTTATCAGTATGGTCCACTCTCAACTATGCGCGACCTCATCATGCCGAGTCTTACATCCTTCGAAAGCATCCTGATCCTCAGTACCTGGCTGGTTGGCAATTTCGATGCGGCACCGGCGCTCGTTGGCGTTTTCAAAAAGATAGACATACGAGCCCTTGTCAAACCTGTGATGTCTGGGTTTCACAGTATCGGGGCCATAGAAGTAATGAATGTCTGCGAAGCTTCATCGACGGTCTGTCAGCAAATTGGGACATCTCCCCGAGGTATTTAGCCGTCGCAACTTACAGTGTCGCAACATTCTCCTCTCCTGGTCGTACAGCCATATCGAAGGTTCTTCTCCTCTAGGAGCTCACCTTACAGAAGAAGATTAAGAACCTGTAGTGAAAATAATCAAGTGATTCGTGCCAGAAAGAAAATGTGTGGCCTCGTTCAGCTTTTGTACCCTCCCCTTCAGAGTCCAACCCTCATTTCAGAGCTGGGCGCCATTTGACTCGTCGACTGATCAACTTCTGTGTTTCCAAGAGACGACATAATGCATGTACGTTGTCCATGTCGGCGCTTAAACGCCTGTTCTTGGGGAGGGGAAGCACATTCTTTGGCCAATTGAGTTCAGAGGACCCTTGGTGTCGTTAGAGCTGTCCCACTACCAAAATAGCGGCCCCCACTAAGGTACCTAAGACAGCACTCAAAGTACCAGAGGCCCCTAGTGGGTCACATGACCTCGTGTGTTTTTCGAACGCGTCCAGGATGTTGAGGGGTTCCCCGTCACGTCATCCTTCTCCATCCCCAAGACGCGACGACATGAGGCTGGCTTCACGATGCCTTCAATAGTCGCAGTATATGCTATGAAGACACCGCCATTGTCCCCTTGAGATGAGCTCAACTGATCAAGCGGAGGAGCAACCTCCATTACAGCCAACAGAGGAACCTTCAGGAGCTGAAAAGGAAACAAATCATGTCAACAGAGACACCTCTGAGACTACAGAGGACGATGCTTTCAAAACCCTCAAATATTCCCTTCTGGGACCATCGCTACTAAAAGCAGGACAAGATACAGTTGATCAAACAAAGGTACACATCCTTGCCACACACACGAACGAATCATCACTAACACAACTTCCAAGGTTTCTGAAATCATCTACAACGCTTCCAAAGGATCCAAATTCTTCAATCGCGAAGAAGAACGAGACAAAGTCCTCACCCAAAAGATCGAACAAATTATCGCGCGAAAGGCTCAACTCGAGAAGAGGGATCTGACTCGAGATTTGCGCAATGCAGACCGTCTGATTGCCGAACTTGAACTCACTCGCGACCTCACTCAGCACATCGTCCATGTGGACTGTGATGCATTCTACGCAGCTGTGGAGCAGCTCGATCAGCCGGAAATAAAGGACCTCCCTTTCGCAGTTGGTGGCGGTGTTCTGACCACTTGCAACTATGTTGCGCGCAAGTTCGGCTGCCGGTCAGGCATGGCTGGCTTCGTGGCGAAGAAATTATGTCCAAGCTTGATCTTGCTAAAGCCAAACTTCCAGAAATACAATGCAAAAGCGCATGAGGTGAGAGAGGTTCTGGTTAACTACGATCCCCGGTTTGAGAGCGCTAGTATCGATGAGGCATACCTGAACATAACCGAATACTGCCAGGAACACCAGATGGACCCAGCGGAAGCTGTTGAACAGATGCGGCGAGAAGTTCATGAGAAGACAAATATCACAGTCTCTGCTGGCATTGCTGCTAACGCAAAACTCGCAAAGATCTGTTCAAATATGAACAAGCCCAATGGGCAATATGTTTTATCTTGCGATCGGCCAACAATCATGGCCTTCATGCGCGACCTACCTACCCGAAAAGTCAACGGTATAGGGAGAGTCCTCGAGAGAGAACTGCTAGAGATTGGTATCAAGACTTGTGGTGATCTCTACGAGCATCGAAAATATCTCAATCCACTTTTTGGTGACAAAACCTCAGAGTTCCTGTTCACATGCTACTTAGGTCTTGGTCGAACCAAAATCCAACCAGCAGAAGAGTATGAGCGCAAAAGCGTTGGCACGGAGAGCACATTCCGCGACATGTCGGATCCTACGCAGCTGAGAGAAAAATTACGAGCAACAGCAGAGGAGTTGGAGCAGGATATGAAGCGCGCTGAATGTAAAGGCCGTACACTCTGTCTTAAAGTCAAGCTTCACACATTCGAGGTCTTCACTCGGCAGGTCGTCCTACCAAGAGCTATATGCCTTGCAGACGACTTGTACAACTACGCTCTGCCTATTCTCACGAAGTTGGAGCAAGAAATGCCTGGCATGAAACTTCGGTTGATGGGTCTGAGATGCACACATCTTGTCAGTACCAAAAGGCCTGATGCCATGGCCTTCTTCGGCTTCCGGCCCCGAAGGACAGACTCTGAAGACCGCCCGCAAGACGGTACCCTGAAAAGAAAATTGAGTGATGGTGACGGAGAATGGGAACAGTGGCCAGGAGCCGATCTTCAACTTGACGACCCGGATGGCCTGCTTGAGGGCTCTTCTAGTAACCAGGACACTCCAGATCAATCGCCAGGTCGAAGACACGGCAAGGAGATCGCCCCTAATCCTACAAAAGAGAACGCTGAAGAGGAGCAGTGGTGGGACTGTCCCATTTGCAGCAGACCGCAAACGGCCGACGAACGGCATTTCAATGAACATATAGACCTTTGCCTGTCGAGGCAGACAATTCGTGAGGCTGTACAGGCAGATGGCCCGTCAATAAAACGTGACCCGACGCCCGAAATGAAGAAGCCACGGATGACAGAGAAGAAGAGAGGGAAGCCGAAGGTGCCTGACCCAAAGCAGAGACAGTTGTTCTTTGGATAGTGTAAACGATATGACGTTAATGTGAATGATGCAAACAGGTCTATAATATAATATTGTCTAAATATTCGTCCAACTTTGTTTTGCATTTCCGTTGGTAATCCAAATCTATCGTGTTTCCAAATCCGTGAACGCCTTGCTCATATACATGCGATGCACAACTTTACATGACTCTAGACTCTCGACTAGCTATCCTATTCATCGTCTTTGTCTTTCTGATCTTCGAGTCTTCTTCCTCTTCGCGTACTAACTTCTCTCCTGGCAACCTAACGGCCTTGTCAAGCGCAACAGGGAGACCTCGATGTCGGCCTCTGAGGATCACCAAGCACAATACAAACTTGCTACCTCGGTGCATGCCTCCAGCCATGCTGTAGCTTTTTCCTGGTAAGCCCATGGACAGACCAACGCACCCATAAGCCGAAACAACCTCAAACAACACATTAAAAACACTGTAGGCAAGAGGTTGTTCAAGGAAATGGTCGGTCTCGATGATCATGATAACGATGACCGGGAGGACAAGCCACCACATGTCGTGAGCAAGCTGTCCACGAATCTGCTGTCCAATGAAAGAGATGCGAGAGTTATCGTCTGGGCCTTTGGGTGGAGGTCGCACGCCAACGCCATGGAAAGTCATAGATTTCTTGACCGTCTTTTGAGCTGCAGCGGTGACTCTCCGTCGCAGTGCAGGTTTTTCTGGTTCCTCTGAGATCGTGGGCAGAAGTTGGTTTCCATTTTCGTTTCCGTTTCCATTCTCTGCTTCCACAACTTGAGGGTCATCCTCATAAATGCCAAGGGACCGTTCCTCATAGACGTTGGAGTGGCGCATTGTAATTGAGACAGGGTACACGGAAATGTACATCATAATCATGTAGAGCAATTGGACGGCGGGATAGAGACCTGAGATAGAAACGACCGCGAAACCAGCAGCACGAACAGCTTGAAATGTGTCAGTAAAGCAATCAGATAATAGAAAGGTTCTTACTTACCAATTGCTTGGAACCATCCAGCAATGATACGGTCAGACACTGGCATAGCTTCTACAACATCATTTCCGATATTCAAAACTTCAAAAGCAACCCAGTCAATCGTGTTGATAGTAACAATGACGGTGAAGAGCCACCATGTAGCACCTGACGGGAAGAGTGTCGTGTATACTCGACGGGGATACTTGAGAATGAACTCGATCGTCTCTTTCCATGGCCCCAGAGTTTTGGGCTCGGTGGTCAGTTGCAATAGCCTAAGACTACACCAGAGAAAAAACCTCAAGAGCAGTGGGTAGCCCGTATTCCCAGCAAGGACAAGGATACCAACGACGATGAGAACGAAATACGCATCCTGAAATGCACCCATGCCTGCGTCATTGAGTGACATGCCGGCGTTGTTAAATGCCGAAGACGACAAGAAGATTCCACACCACCAGGGGTTGACATCATTGACGGTTGCCGCGGACGGCCGGTTGATGCTGATCCAAGCACCCAGTGCAATTCCACATACAGCTTGCCACATGAAGGCGTAAAGAGGAACAGTGACGGCCAAGATCTTCAGCGCGCGGTATTCACAGCCACCCAAGGCCTCACGTTCATCGGATGATAGGTCGTAGAACTGGCCTCTCTTGCTTGTATTGTGACTCCCGAGTATCTTCTTCCAGTGCAGAAGAAAGTCTTCTGATTCGTCGCTGTTGACAGAGTCTGAGGTTGAAGGCCGTCGGTTGGGTTCCTCGTTCTCGTTCCGTCGATAGATGGACACGCTGTCTCTGCCGGCGCTTCGGGGCGACAAGTTGTCTGCGAATTGGATATGATCGCCGGTGTTTGGGGTCATAGGAGTATTCCGTGCAGGAGCTGCTACCTGCGTCGTATTGCTATCATTGTCGTCTGAGTCGGAGATAGAATCTGGAGGAGCAGTAACGGCACGGCGCATGGGAGCAGTCGTCTTGAACAAGTCGTTGTCATGTTTCTCAGTCGCTGTCCTTTGAACTGTTCCAAGACCAGTCAGAGTATTAGAAGTCTCGGTTGAAACCGGTGTTGTCCTCGCTTTGGCGAAAGGGAGGAACCTCCCAAGTGGTTTGGCGCGTCTCAATGCGGCCCGCCGTTTCCTCGCTTCTCGTTCTGTCCTGACGATATCCTCAAAACGCTTCTCAAACGCCTGCTTTCGTACCATGACCGTCCAGAATGAAACCCATAGAGCACTTCCAATGATGAAGAGAAGATACAGCAGAACCTGCTGCCATGTCGTGATTTCGGAAAGATTGACGGTATTGAGGCCTGTATCGCAAAAAGAAGACACAACCAGGAACAGACAGTCGACGTAGGGGATGCTCTGGCTTGGCTCGCTGGATAGCCAGAAGATAAGCGAGAAGAAGAGGGATCCGAAGATGAAATAGGCGTAGTGAATGGTTATGAAATTGATGGGTGGTACCAGCCTCCCAGCCTGCGTAACGACCGCATCAAGGCGCGGATGCTCCTCACGAAGATCTTTCCAGCGAGATGTGAAAGAGTCGAGCATCGTGGTAGTTGCGCTGGGTTTGAGATGCCAAGATGTGTACCCCAGCTGAAAGGGTCAGCTCCCAAGCAATAGGAGCGGAGCCTCAAAAAAGCTTGTTAATTTAGTCCGGCGTCGTTATTTGAAGAAATATGACATTTCGATCACTAGACGAGACGAGTCTGTGATGAAATCGCGGTGATGCCGAAAAACACAAGTGAGTGAGTGAGTGAGTGTTGAGTGAAAGAGTGGAAAGGAAAGAAATAGGTAGGTTTCGCTAGCAGATAAGGTTAAGACGGAATACGGCAGATGCAAGGAAAGATAGTAAACAGGATTTGATTATACGGCGCGGGCGCGAGGAAGGAGAGACAAAGCCGAAAAAGAGACAAAGAAACTGTTTGATTCGGGAGATGGTGACGGTGAAAGGTGCCGACTGGCAGTGCGTCAATCGAAAACTAACAGGGAGACAACCTAGGAAGCCAATGTGTTACGCCCCTTGGATCCATCCCAATGGATGCTGTGCAACTGAGAGCGCAAGGTACCACCAAATTCTAAAGTTGAGCGGGCGCTAAAAGCTTACCGCGTCCCAATTGAAACGGGGAGCACAAGGTGGCCCAGTATAAGGATACGGCATTTGCAAGGTTGAGGATCATGGAAAGGTCAAAGCTAGGTTCAGACAAAGAGGGAGCCAACATTTGGATATCCATCAACTACCCTCAATTCTTGTTAGAAACAGTTGCGTCTAAGCCCCAACGACCTGATGAAATACAATTGATGCTCCATTAAGGTTTAGAATCGGGCTTGTCTCTGGCCATTCCCGCCAGCCATCTCCATATTCATCCCGTCCCTCCCGTCGCAGCGGAAACTCTCTAAATACCTTAGTTCCCGGGGCATTAAAACGGGCCAGCGGGTCCGTTCCGCCAGCGGATATCATTGGTTTTATCGTAATGGAACGCTGTTATTTTCGGCTTCACTTATACGTGTTTCAATCCCAGCCAACTTCAGTCTTGCTTCGCTGTATCCAAGTAAGCAGTTGCTTGTATTGAGCATCTTTATGCCTACAAACGTATATACTTAGCATGTAGCACTGTTATCTATCATTCCTACTTGAGATTAGTCTTCACGTAATCATGATGTTTAATTTAACCTCCGCTCCTTATCCAGTTATTCCCCTTTCATGGATTAACCCCTGCAGCTGGTGTCTGAACCTACATCCGTATGTAACGCCTTCCTGGGAGGAAACGAAAGCCCCAAATTGAGTTACTATTAATACCAGTGACACGCGATCAATGTCTTTGGTTGTCAGGTGACGCGTGTTGTTGGGATATTGGAGCATTCCTTAGGCGGTTATACGTTGTCATTGACCATTCTAGTGTTGTTCATTGTTACGATTTGCCCCAAAGGTTGACATATTATTACCCAAGCTACCTACCTATACAGCGCATCACTATTATCTCGAAATGAAAAGCCTATGTGGCTGAAGGATTGCAAGCATGACGGCGGTGAGGTTTCAGACTTGTCACGTGGAATAAGTAAGGGCATAGCATCTCAAGACTGAAATTAGCTATAACCGATTTCTCGAAGAGACTTGTGCCAGATCCTTGCTTCTAGTGTCTCATGATACTCTTTGTCATGAAACATCGTTTTAGAATCGTACCTACCCTACACTATGGAATACAAACTCGCAAGCCTCCGACAGTGTAAGTCAACAATGGTGGGCTCTTCACTGATAACACCAGGCTGGTCAATCGGTAAGTATGCCAAGTAACGCAGTAGAACTTGAAAATAGTGGCATTTATCTTTGGTTCGTCGCTCGCCCTGACGAAATCGTAGTTCTATTGCCCACAGCCGTCTGTAATATCTTCGGACGTCTGACATCAACATTGACATACGATCTTCAGTAATCTACTCATAATTAAATTTCATCACGATGGAACAGAAGAAATGACGCAGTATGAACAGTCGTTGACCTACACCGCTAGATATGAGATAGATTTATCAACACCCCACCTGCAAGTGAACAAAGTGTACATCCGGAATAAGCTCAACGATTTTACAAGTGACTCAAAGCAGGAAACCATTGCAATAAGACCAGGGGCAAGACCCGCTCCCTCCCCGTAAGAAATAAACCGCCATTCAAGCCTGTAGTTCATCGAGATGCCCAACTCAGTAGTGAGAGATCAGACATGCTGAAGACATCACCAAGTGCATCCGCATGACTCAGGCGCCCATACCTGCATATATCCGCTCATCATCAACATCCTTTGATGTAACAGAAGACCAGAGAACACCAATACATGCGGCCACCAGAGGCGAAGCCATCACAAGAACAAGATGAGAGTATCGTATAATGACGTCGAGATCTACGAGACAAATCCTCATGCCCGAGATAGACAGTAGACCCTCCCTACAGCGCGATTATGCACATCCGATCCACATGTCACAGAGGGCCAGCGTGGGGCTTGTCCCCGAGCGGATAGCACACGACGTTGACAGGATCCGGGTTTTGTTATCCAGCTTTTCATGGATGAGTCTTAGACAGAATATGGTGTGGTATGGGTTGATACGTTATGCACAAAGTAGATCATGGAAGACATCAAATCCTTACAGCTCCTCGTGCTCAGGAGCGTCATCGGTGTCTGCAATGATGGTCTTGGCGGCATCAGCAGCATCGACGACAGCCTGAGCAACCTTACCAGCAACATTCTTGGTGGCAGATGCGGCAGACTCAACAGCCTCACTGATAGCCTCGGCGGCAGTCTCGGCACCCTCGACAACCTTTGTCTCGATCTTCTCGGGCTTGGGTACGCCTTGAATTCCAACGAGCTCTGTCTCGAAAACTGCAGGTTTGTAGTGTTAGGCGGTGAATATGAAGCGGGAGGGGCTGCTGGGAATAACGAACCCAGGGTAGAACCGGCAGGAATAGGGCCAATGGCTCGTTGGCCGTAGCCGTACTCAGGCGGAATAGTCAAAAGTCTAAGTCAAGGGTCAGTAAAGAGGTGTCCTGGCTGTAGCTGTATGCTTTACGTACCGCTTCTCGCCGATACACATGTCGAGAAGACCCTCGTCCCATCTACAGAATTGTTAGCCTCAAATTTGTATACATCGCAGTAGTGAAGCTTACCCCCTGATGACCTGACCAGAGCCAACGACGAAGTCAAGAGGAGTGCCACGGTCGTAGCCTTGTGTCTGGATTAGCATGTGCTTTGTGACGATCATTAATGTAGATGCAAGGCGGAGGAACTTACTGGCATCGAATTGTTTGCCCGAGTCCTTAAGGGTGCCACGATAGTGCATTTGAACCCTGTCTCCCTTCTTTGTCTTGCGGTCGCAGACGACGGGAAGAGTAACGTCAATTTTGAGGTCCTCGGCGACAACGCCAATGGCGGCAGAGGCGAGGGCGGAGAGGAGGAGGGCAGCCTTCATGGTGGCGGTCGGGATAGATGCGGGGCGGGGAATTGAAGAGGTAAATGGAGGTCACAACGAGGTTGAGGTAAATGAGAAGCCTGAATTCGTTGGAGATGTGACGTCGACAGGTGTGGTTGGCACGTCGTGTGAGGCAGTGTGAATGGATGCGAGCGAGGTTGTCGTTGTATGGATGAAGCTCCCGTCTGGTCTGGTGTTGGCCTCTCTAACGTTAAGCTGCGACGTGTCCGTTTAGCGGCTAAAGGCTCTGTACTGCAGCGTGCGCTTCTAGCAAAACAGCGTCATAGCTTGGAGGGTCAGGCTTAGGAGCCTGTTATTGGTCAATGGGGCCGGCCCGTCTGAATGACCCCATCCTTGATCTGTTTCTGGGTTGTCATGTCTCGCATCTCCATTTGGAAACTGGGGAGGCTGCAATGCCAGATATGGATGAGCAGAATCGAAATAACAGGGTCCATCCATGAGGATTTGCATCACGTTGGCCCTTGAACTACGTACACATGGATATCTGCAGTAAATCTGACGCATTACAAATATGCATTTACATCTTCTGTTTCTGTTTCGGTCTCGCAGGGCGAAACCATCCATGTGACTCATGACGATAACACGACGCTTCACTGAATCAGTCAGGGCCTTGTACAGCCAAGCAAGGCGCAAAAGGAAAAATCCCTTGGCAGTCCCTGATTCATCACACCAAGGCCGTTATCGAAATAGGGTATCGCGACGTCACTGGATGGTCATGTTTTTGATGTCACCAGTAATCAGTGTCGGGCCCATCCGTCCATCCATCCGTGTTCAGGATATTAGGACTAGTAGGAATCGTCTGCTGCGGCGGCTAAAGCGCCGATGTACTTACGCGTGACTGCATCAAGGCGAGATGGTGTAGAGCTTCAGCAATCGACAAGTTTACTACTCGAGCAGGTGCATCAGTTCCTGCAGCAGAGATGCAACCCAAATGGGGGCACATCCCAGCCTGCAGGTGTCAGATCCACCAGCGCCGAGAAGCCCTGGGCCAAGCGCTTCACACGCTAATGCGCTTCACGATGAATTTCGCCTCTTGTTATGATGCTGTTTATCGAGATAGGGAGACATGATAGTCCCCTTTCAACCCCTTTCCGTTACGGTGGGGGGGGGGGGGGGGCATAGAGCTTCGATAGGCCCGGGTGCACAATTCAGAGACATGGTGACATTATGTTTAACATTTGGGCACCGATAGGTATGAGCTTGAGTTATATGTGTCTGTTGTACAAGGGCGATGCCAGTCATGAGAGTCGAGGCCTGCATCAAAGAAAGAATAGAAAAGGGGGGTCAACGAAGACGAAGACACAGAGCGTGGGATTGGGAGTTGTCTCAGACAAAGAGTGGAATTGTGAGATTCACGAAGCGAAGCCTCACTCCCTTTCTTCCCCAGTCATGACGGCCGCCATGGATATTTTTATCTGTTTATGGTCACTAACTTATTGTAGCTCCACGATCCCAAGGTTGTGGTACGTGTTACTGGCGCTGGTGCCTGTGGTGCCTGGACCGGACTGGACTCTAACCTCTAGCATGACGGCCGCTGCGAGTGTTTCATGCATTCACTCAAAGGCCGTTGCATCGTGAAAATGCCCCCGGTCTAAGCAAAGTCTAAGTCATGCTGGGGGGTTGGTATCTATTTACCAAAGACTGATTACATGCACAACAGACCAGAAGAAGCGACTCGTGGCCCCCAATTACAGGCAACAACAGGCAAGGTCTTATCGTCTTGTCTCGTTTCATCCATTTTGAATCATTCTCTCCAAATTGTATCCCCTCAGACCCGGTCGGTCCCTCTCGCGCACACCGTGGGGCTTGGTCCTTTGCCCTGCCCTGCATCAAATGCTGCTCATTCGCCCTACGTCGCTAAGGCTCCGCCCTATCCAGCGTCACCAACCTTCACTCGTTGACCTGAATTTCGCCACCGAGGGCCTGAGCAGTGCTGTCACAAGGTTTCTGCTATGGGGGACGAATGTTCTGCAATTGCAATGAGTCTTGCTAGGATGTTTTCTTTTAGACTCTGGTCCCTTGCCCTGGACAGCCAGTCGATGCCCAATGATTTGACTACGCCCCATTATGCTGCACCCCGTATTGTCCATTCCCATTTACACACCATCCATTACTAGCCCTCCCGTCCGTCGTGCTTTAGAGGCATGGCCCGCTTGCCGTGCCGGGCCCGGGAGTACGTGCTTGCTCGGGTCTTGGTCTTGTCTCTGACTCCTTTTGACTCACTCCCCTGAACTCGATGGAATCCCTTGGGTCCCCCCATATCGAAGGCTACCTAGCGTGCGAGATGCCTTGCGCTTTGCCAGGTAACCCTTGTCCTCCAGGCAGTGAGGTCTTGGGCTAATCCACTTACAAATGACTGAGTACGTACTATCATTTCTCATCATAAAGCTTCAAATACATATAGACCCCCTTCTTCCTATGCCATTCCCTTTTTCATTCCCACCAAACACTCACAATACAAAGCCTTGAAAGTACGGACAACATTGTCGTTTCAACATCAGCCATTTCGATTAACACCTGCCACACAAATATCGCCAAAAACAACTACCCCTTACAACCAACACAACCGCAACCATGAGCTCCCCTTACACTGTCCAAATCCACCAGAGCACCAAGGAGCCTTCCATCTCCAGCTCTTACAGCTACTCTTCTGGTTCGTACAGCTCTTCAACCAGCACAACGCCTCGATCTCTCTCTCCTGGCGATTACCGCGAGTACGGTGCTGGTAAGTTTCTTACCACCGAGTCTCCGGGCTCTTTCACTTCCCATGGCCCCACTCTGACATTTGATGCAGACAAGCACACTACACAAGTCGCCAGCTCTGGTCGAAACTTGGTCATCAACCACAACAAAGTCTCGTACGAGAAAGACTCGCCGGCACCAAAATATTCTGGTGCATATACGAGGATCTAAACAACACTTGGCCACAGCCATTTTTTCGATTTCCTATGTTTCATCGATTTCGAACAGCGACATGTAACGGATGTGGGATATACACAACATAGACAGGCGTTTTGACATTTGGAGATATGAGGCAAGATTGAGCGCAGCATGGCGATGTATTATGGGATTAGAGAGCATGGGTTGCACAACGATAACCAAGATTGATAGACTCTGGGACGGGTTGGATTGAGCCGAGGCTGTTTTCCCTTTTCTTTTTTTATACTGATTGTATCATCCTTTGTACTTTTACTATTCGAGCGTCGGACACTTTGCGGTCCGCGCTGAACTTTTTAGAAGGGCCAAATCTCCCGTCTTGACCTCTTACAAGTCGAGATGGCTGGATGAGATATGAGACGGCCCGTCGGACTGGTCCGATTATAGCGACCCAATTTGAGACCATGGAAGAAAATTTCCAACACACCTTTCAGCTGTTTCAGCTCCTTTCCAATTTCATCTGTGCTTTTTCCTTGATTTTTGGAAATTTCAAAAAGGGTCCAAGACACCAAAAAAAATCATTGATGGTGTGATGGGTTGGGTTGGGTCTCTGCGAGTGGATGGGGCCCTTGGGTTCCCTCCCGCTCGGTACCTGCAGCCCAACCCGTGGCAGGGATTCTAGAGCTTCTGATATGCAGTGTCTCCTCCACTTTGGAAGTGTTTTGAAGAGGTTCTCCACGTTGGAATTTTCTATTAAAATGGCTTAGACTGTAAAAAGATGAGATGGAATTCCCACTTTCTGCGGATCGATGACTTTGTCTCTGCCCAAATGGTGTGTGAACAGCAGTCAGAGTTGCATTCTCACACCCCAAGCTTCGTGTTAGTGCGCAGTTGTGTGAGGCTTTGGGCATTTCAGTATTTTACAGTGTTCAATATACTATAGCAATTACCACGGCCCAAGCGAAGGCCTAGTAGTGCCCATTCATTTCATATCATTTGTATGCACAACCATTCATTCACAGTCAGGTAATTTCGTTACCAAAAAAAGATTTCCATTTCTGGCATCATGAGTACCGAGGCTCATGGCCCCGTCGCATGACATCATGCTCAAGCGCCACCCTCACGCTTGGCATACTCGTCCTCGATAGCCTCTTCGTACTTTTTGGCCGCTTCGTCCTGGGCAACAGTACGCGGGTCGTCGTGCAAGACGCCTTCCTTAATGAGATCCTCTGGGTCTGGACGGTGTGAGATCTTGTCGTTGAGCTTATCCTCGAGCATGTGCTTCTCGAGCTGTGGGGGCGTCAGCGACTGTGGGCTCCATGGTTTGAGGGTGGACTTACCTCTTTCTGATGCGCCTGGAGGCCTGGCGCTGCCGTAGAGGCTGGAAGGATATTCTCTGTTCAGGGCATGTAAGCATTGTACATGCAAGGATGCAATGCGGGGGGCTGCTCACTATCTACAAGCTCGGAGCGTTCGGGGCGGTGCTTGAGGTGAGCTTCCAGTGAGTTTCTTCGCTCTACAGGAGAAATGGGAGACTCGTCAACGAGCTTGGGCTGCTGTTCAGTGTCGGCCATGGCGGTAGAGTGTAAGCTGGGTAAACAGGGTAGTCAAGTTCAGAGTAATGTGTGTATAAGTGTAGCAAGTACTGGTGGTGTAAGTGGTCGCAACAAAGTTTGGAGAAGAAGAGGGTAAACAGGTCTCAGAAGAAAGGGAGGCGGCGGTCTTAAGTTTATCTACTCAGAAACTCTCAAGCTAAGGTCTCAGAAATGGGCCGTTGATGCGGCAGCGCAATGCCATGTTTATGCGCATTGGATGTTTCGTCGGGCGTGGTTGGCTTGGGCCGCTCACCTGTTTAGTGAGCATGCCACCTTTGGAGGTTGCTACCCCGCAACCGGGAAGCTCGCTACTGTAAGCTGCGCGTCAGAGGACAGGGGATTGGACGATCAGTTGCTGGCTAAACTGAATTGAATCAGATTGTCAATTGTTCCTGGGCGGATGTTTTGTTCTTCCGTTGGTGATACTATCATGATGGTTAAGAGATCGGTCTGGAGCTTGTTTGGCGGGGACTAAATGCAGGCCAAGACGCTTGAAGCTGGAGATGAACGGAGCATCTGGTGGATAAGCGCCACTTGAATTTACTATCGGTGATTGATTGCATACTGGTAGATCAATGCTGTTTGTATGAGCTTGCTGTATCTGATAAACTCTCATCCAACTTACCTATATTTTGATATCTTCTGTCTAAGCTCCACGGCGGGCCATGCTCTATCTCAAGGAATGAAACACGGTCTAAGTTAGACCAGTTCGCTGCGGCTCAACCTGAGCAAACTTTACTATAATTGAAGCACGCTTGTTCTCACAGAGGAGCGTCTGGGTAGTCGAGTTGACAGCTTATCTGTACCTACCTACCTATCTAGGCTCGAGTTGCTGCTGACGAAACCGTTTGGTCAAGTCATCTTTGTCAAACCCACCCAGCCATATTCCTCAGTATCCCTGCAAAATACACTTCGACAATTGATAACAAACTCCTTCGTCTCCGGCTCAAATAGTCAGGATATGAGTCGACTGCTCACTATTAGATTTTGAAGACTTGCACAGCAAGCCAAGATGAATCTTATTCCCTGATAATACCAATTATCCCACTGCACAATGACGACACATCGGGCATGAGCGAGTAAAAAGCAAGGCAATATTCGTTATCGCAGGGATGACCGAGTCGGGATATTATTAGAATCATCCCTAGAACACCGCAAAACAACTGAATTACCAATTCCACCTTAAAATTCTCATGATTTATGCTGCCTAGAGCAGACTTTTATTTGCCGCGCGTTTTCATACAATAGCCAGACGTTAACACTTGCTACCGCCACTTATTGCGTAAGGCTGCACATAATCCAGGGGGGCTGTGCCGGGCGGAAAATTGTCGGCGTTTCGTCACCCGTCAGGCACCAGATCATCACTGAACACAACCTCCCAAGTCCAGTCGTCTCCAGCCACACCAAACCTACCTAAGCTCCAGACTCTCTCCTTTGGAATTAAACTTCGCATTTTCTTCTCTGGCTTTTTCACACCAGAGACCTTCAATTATTCAGCACGGGATTAATCATCTGATGCCCGTATAGATACAAATTCAAAACTAAGCATCTCTCGCTTTCCCCCTCCCCACTCTCTCGCCCATAAGTCGCACATCATGGTACGGATCAACCTTTAATATTGGCGTCTTTTTTGGCTGACAACTTTTACTCAACTCTCAGGGAATATCAAGACGCCCTAAGAACAAGGGCGCCGGTGCAGCCGCGGACGGCGCAAGCGGAGGCGCGAAGCCTAAGAAGGCCACCTTTGAGACAACCAAGAAGAAGGAGATTGGTGTTTCCGATCTGACTCTGCTGAGCAAGGTCTCCAACGAAGCCATCAACGATAATTTGAAGAAGCGATTTGAGGGCCACGAAATTTATACCTACATTGGCCATGTGTTGGTCTCAGTCAACCCTTTCAGGGACCTGGGCATTTATACCGATCAGGTCCTCGAGAGCTACATGGGCAAGAACCGACTCGAAATGCCACCACACGTCTTCGCCATCGCCGAGGCCTCGTACTACAACATGAAGGCATACAGCGACAACCAGTGTGTCATTATTTCAGGAGAGTCAGGAGCCGGAAAGACCGAGGCGGCCAAGCGCATCATGCAGTACATTGCTAGTGTGTCTGGTGGAGAATCCGGAGACATCAAGCAGATCAAGGACATGGTGCTGGCAACCAACCCCTTACTAGAGTCTTTCGGAAACGCAAAAACACTTCGAAACAACAATTCCTCGCGTTTTGGCAAGTATTTACAGATCTACTTCAACGCCCAGGGCGAACCCGTGGGTGCCGACATCACAAACTACCTCCTGGAAAAGTCACGAGTGGTGGGCCAGATCACGAACGAGCGAAACTTCCATATCTTTTACCAATTCGCGAAGGGCGCATCACAACAATATCGAGAAACATTCGGCGTTCAAAAACCCGAGACCTACGTCTATACCAGTCGGTCAAAATGCTTGGACGTGGACGGTATCGACGATCTCGCCGAGTTTCAGGACACGCTTAATGCCATGAAGGTCATTGGCCTTACTCAGGCTGAGCAAGATGAAATTTTTCGAATGCTGGCGGCTATCCTATGGGTTGGAAATATCCAGTTTCAGGAGGATCAGGGCGGCTACGCAGAGGTTATCGATCGATCAGTGGTTGACTTTGCCGCTTACCTGTTAGAAGTTACCCCTGACCAGCTCATCAGCGGTATCACAATTCGAATCCTGACACCTCGAAATGGCGAAGTTATCGAATCGCCCGCCAACCCTGCCCAAGCACAGGCTACGCGAGATGCTCTGGCAATGGCTATCTACAGCAATCTTTTCGACTGGATCGTCGAGCGCATCAACAAGTCCCTCAAGGCGAGGCAACCGACAACCAATACAATCGGTATTCTGGATATCTACGGATTCGAAATTTTCGAGAAGAACAGTTTTGAGCAGCTGTGCATCAACTACGTCAACGAGAAGTTGCAGCAGATCTTCATTCAACTGACTCTCAAGGCCGAGCAGGAGGAATATGCCAGGGAACAGATTCAATGGACTCCTATCAAGTACTTTGATAACAAGGTTGTGTGCGACCTTATCGAACAGATCCGGCCAGTTGGTATCTTCTCTGCTATGAAGGATGCCACCAAGACCGCACACGCTGACCCCGCTGCTTGCGATCGCACATTCATGCAGAGTATCAACGGTATGTCTCATGCTCATCTTACCCCTCGACAAGGAAACTTCATCATCAAGCATTACGCTGGTGATGTCACCTATACTGTCGAAGGTATTACGGACAAGAACAAGGATCAGCTTCTCAAGGGGCTTTTGAACCTCTTCCAGCACAGTGGAAACCAATTTGTTCATACCCTGTTCCCTCGGCCCGTTGACCAAGATAACCGAAAGCAGCCTCCTTCTGCAGGCGATCGCATCCGAGCTTCCGCCAATGCCCTGGTCGAGACGTTGATGAAGTGCCAGCCCTCATATATCCGTACCATCAAGCCCAACGAGAACAAGTCGCCAACAGAATATAACAGCCCCAATGTATTGCATCAGATCAAGTATCTTGGTCTTCAAGAAAACGTCCGCATCCGTCGTGCCGGTTTTGCTTACCGCCAAGATTTCGACAAGTTCGTTGATCGATTCTTCCTCTTGTCTCCTGCGACCTCATACGCTGGTGAATTCACTTGGGAGGGAACAACCGAGGCTGCTGTAAAGCAGATTCTCAAGGATACCAGCATTCCTAAGGAAGAGTGGCAAATGGGTGTTACCAAGGCCTTCATCAAAGCCCCTGAGACGCTCTTTGCCCTTGAGCATATGAGAGACAGATACTGGCACAACATGGCTACGCGAATCCAGCGCATGTGGAGGGCTTACCTCGCCTACCGAGCCGAGTCGGCGACCCGAATTCAGCGATTCTGGCGGAAGAAGCGAACTGGAGCAGAATACCTTCAGCTTCGTGACCATGGCCACCAGGTTCTGGGAGGTCGCAAGGAAAGACGTCGTATGAGTCTGCTGGGTTCCCGACGATTCCTTGGTGACTATCTGGGTGTCAATGCAAGCACCGGCCCCGGAGCCCAGATCCGCAACGCAGCTACTATTGGTACAAACGAAAAGGCGGTATTTTCATGCCGTGCCGAGATTCTGGAGGCCAAGTTTGGTCGATCCAGTAAAGCAAGCCCTCGAATCATCGTCGTCACCACCAACAAGTTCTATATCATTGCTCAAATGCTTGTGAATGGCCACCCACAAATCTCAGTTGAGAAAGCGGTGCCCTTGGGAGCCATCAAGTTCATCGGCGCCTCATCAGCGCGCGATGATTGGTTCTCGCTTGGCATTGGCTCCCCTCAGGAACCTGACCCCCTCATGAATTGTATGCTCAAGACAGAAATGTTCACTCAGATGCAGCGAGTGATGCCCGGTGGATTCAACCTCAAGATCGCTGAGACAATCGAGTATGCCAAGAAGCCCGGCAAGATGCAGCAGGTCAAGGTCCTGAAGGATTCACAACTTCCAGTTGATTACTATAAGAGTGGTGCTGTGCACACACAGCCCGGTGAGCCACCGAGCTCCATCTCTAGACCTACACCCAAGGGCAAGCCTGTACCTCCTCGCCCCATCACTCGAGGCAAGCTGATCAAGCCTGGTGGCCCCAACGGTCGACCTTCTCGCATCCAGGGCAACCGAACTGCCAAGCCTAGACCAGGGGCAGGTCGAGCCGTGCCTCAACCACCAGCTGCTGTCTCTAATATTGCCGCTGTTCCCGCTGCCGCCACCCAAAGCACTCCTCGTATCGCCCCTCGTCCTGGTGCCAACGCTGCTACTCCAATTCCTGCTGCCCACAACGCTCTCCCAAGCCATTCTCGCAATGCTAGTGGCGCCGGACGTGCACCCCCACCGCCGCCTCCTCCTGCTGTCGCAGCACGTCCACCAAGCCCGCCCAAGGTGATGGCCAAGGTCTTGTATGACTTTGCTGGACAACGAGAAAACGAGCTCACCATCACCGCTAATGAGATCGTTGAGATTGTGCAGAAGGAATCCAATGGTACGTTTGACCCTTTGACATCGGAAACTGAACATTACTAACATGGCTATCTAGGTTGGTGGCTAGCCAAGAACCCTCAAACTGCACAACAGGCTTGGGTCCCTGCAGCATATGTCGAGGAACAAGCTCCACCTGCGCCTCGAGCTCCTCCGGCTCCTCCGCGATCCAAGCCCACACCCCCTGCGCCCCCAGCCAAGCGTCCTGCTGCTAACCGTAAGCCTGCCGAGCTTCAGCAGCGTGACTCTGGCATGAGCCTCAATACGCCCAATGGAGGAGACAGCCGCAGCAGCACACCAACACCCAGCTTGGGTGGGAGTTTAGCGGATGCTCTTCTGGCCAGGAAGAATGCCATGCAAAAGGAAAAGGAGGATGACGATGACTGGTAGTCGACATAACGAGTTTATGCTTCACGAACTTACTAAGGAGTCGAGAAAGAACTTTGACCGAGACAAACCTTGTTGGGTCAGACTTTTGTACCTGCATTGCATGACACAAATCACAGTGTGTAAGAGAAGAGGAGGGATGGTATATGACAGTGTATGCTTTCTTCTGTTGCATACAAACGAACAAGACTGTGCTGGGCAACCGAGGTGTGTAGAAAGCCGCAAGGAAATCACGGCCGAGTTTGGTTTTGGTTTTCTTTTCTTGATGCTTTGGGCAAGCGTTTGTAGGAAGGGTCGTTCTGGGACGGACTGATCGACGGAGATATTCATATTCATTGCAAGAAGATTACAGGTTTTTAGAAGGGGTTAAATACTTTGACGTTGAACTTTTATCTCTATCATATATGTTATGTCATCTAATCGTCTGAAATATCTCGCTGGAGAACTTTTCGTCTTCTCATGAGCTCGGCTAGGGGCACATCTTCGTCTGCCGCTTCAGCTTCTGACTCTTCCTCATCAACACCATAATCTCGCAGTCTATCGCCATCCGAGTTCACCCATCCAAGACCTTGATCGAATTCACGGTCATACTCTTCATCGTCATACATATCATAGTCGTCAACCTCTTCAAGTTCCGCCATGAGATGTCTCTTGCGTTTCTCATCGTCAGCCTTTCGCTTGAGAAACTCAGCCTTGAACTCGCTGGAGCTCATACTCGCTTGGCGAAGCTCCTCGGCGTAGTCACGATTCGCAGCAGGCCAACCCCTTGCAGCTCGACGGATTTTGTCGGGATCGGGAGGAGGCCAAAGTCCTTCAACGCGGTTGAAGCCATTCTCCTCCCACTCCCAGCCTGAGCCAGTGCCATCCTTAGCGATGGTGGGGTTCCCTCCGAGAGGGAAGAACCACATGAGTATGTTGCGGGTGCCCATTGCTTGAGCCATATTGTCAAAGAAACCGATATCGTAGGGGAACTCAAGTCTTTCGAAGCGCACTTTCTCGCCATCGGGACCTGTAATGTCCCACCAGTCCTTAGGTCCCTTATCCATGAGAGCTTCATGGCGCTCCTGCTCCCATCCTTCTATCATGGTCTGGTTGAATATCCATGACCTAACAGTGTTGATGAGCATGATACCCAATGCGATAGTGGTAAAGAAGTTGACGATCGCAATTAGCGATAGTCCGATGAGTCCAGATAAGCTAGGTCCTAGGTATGCAGGGAGGTTTCGATGTTCCCAGATCTTAGAGAAGCGTTGCCATAGAAAGTAGCCAAGCATCCAGAGCGATATGTTTGTATATACCAAAAAGCGTAGAAAATGAGGAAAGGTTGTCATTGATACACAGTTTCTAGTCCAAGGACAATGGTGATCCATCTTGGGAACACATCTGGCACAATGGCGACAATGATGCGCCCGAGGTGGTTTAGGCGCCGCGCATTTGTTACACCATCGCTGTCCATCGGCGTCAATAACGCGATCCTTGAATATATATCGGCCCGGGTCGACGGTCACGGCTCGGTAGTACGTTAACCATAGTGTGAAGAGGAGGGTATTAAAGATAATGGTTTCGCGGCGCGAGGGAGGACCTGGTTCGAGGGACGTCGAGTAGTGAAAGAGAAACTGCGAGAAATAGCCAAGAAATGTGATTAGAGCACATACAGAGGGCACGGCAAGGCCCTTGATGAAGGGCACGTCGTTGAGGCCGGCCATGATGAAGCTTTAGCTTGAGCTGTTACATCACATGGAGGTTTAAAGTCGTTATCAGATAGGTAGACAGGCTGGCTGACAGGTAAGGTAGGTAGCCATGATGCCCCTAAATTTTAGTGGACCGTTGGTGTTCCAAACCGCTATATCCAGAACGCTCAGCGAATAGAAGCCCGCTTATGTAATTTTCAGGGGCGTTCGTCAGCAGTCCCCTGATAATCAGCCAGAACTGAGCAGGGGTGTTGTCTTGTGTTTTCTCATCATGACGGCGATATGAAACTTCGATTGATGAAAATACTGACTTGGAGTTAATATCTATGTTTTGGTTGAGAGTCAAAAGCCAGACTGCGACGACATGAGTAGTTTGAAGACGCTCTCAAGCTTAAAAATTTGTTGTTCCAGTCTATCTTTGCCTTGAGGGTTCTGATAAAGCCATCATGGCTGGAGATACAGTGGTTCAATTGTTTGCCTTATGGTACATTTCTCCCCTCACTATCGAGTCTTAATATATATAATAGCTAATGCTGTTTCTAGTGCTACCTCTTCATTCTTTTACATATCTCAAACTCTTGAACGCCATTCTCTAACAGGTTAGTCATAGCCCTGTCATTCCAGATATGCAATCAGACCTGACATGAAATATTATCTAGAAAGTCCGAGACTATCATCATTTCTTGTATTTATGCTCTCCGGAATAGCATGCTATGGAGTCAGTTGTATAACCAAGTGGTTTCCTGGCGCAGACGGACGCTTCACAACACGTCGCCAGGGTTCTTTACTTGACGGTGCACATGATGCTCGAAGGGGGCAGAACACACATCTTCCTGGAAGGCCGAGAAGACTGTCCCTTCCAATGCTTGTATTATGTATTGTATTGAGATTGGAAATTTTTCATCGCGTCAACTATCAGCAACAATGTGCAACTCCTGGCCTCGAGGTGAGACTATGCCCTTTATCACAGATGGATAGTAGGGAAGCTTATAACCGTCCAGTCTTTTCTACCACTACTCTTCTTCGCTTATGAAATCTTCACTTCTCGAAGGAAATGGGGCTTTCCACCACCAGAAGACCCTGATGACCCCTGGCGTTCATGCTTTGATGACTTGGTCGACTGGTTCAGTGGCCCAAGAGTTATGCTCAGTATGGCGGTGTCTAGTCTCGTGGTGTTTTCTACAGGCACATACTACGCCACAGGCCGCATAACACGCTCCACGTACTATTGCTTTGAACTACTCGAGAGCAAGCGGTCAACCCTTGCTTTGCAGTGTATGGGACTTGTGCTTGATGCCATCATCGTGATTCTTCTTTGGCGCTTGCTCGCTTGGTCACGCACCGCGAAGCTGCGTTTACGAACTTTGGGTACAGTCTTGACCCTCTCTTCGATATCGATGAGTCTTGTGTGGGTAGGGAGCAGGCTTTTCAGGGGATCGTCTGTGCTTCACGCTGGGTTCGGCTTTCTCTACGGATTTGATATCATCGTCGACAGTGTTGCCTTTGCGGCACTCATGATCTCAGCTACGTTCTGGGTCTGCGAGACATCACCACTTACACCATCCGCTATCATCACTTTTCTGGTGGGAACAGCAAAGGCCTGTCATAACATCTTCCACTACGGTGAATACCTTCACCCTACACGCCTTAATGAGATCACCCCACTTTACTTCATTGCTTTCGGCATGATCATCTTTACATACACTCATGGTATTCAATCTGTCATCTTCATCAGAAGATTCGTTCTCATGGCTCTTCTCGTTGGCCTTGTTGTGGGCACTACTGTGTTCATTGCCAAGTCGGATCCGCAGACTTTTAAGCGTCATCCTGTCAATGACTTCATTTACAGAGCCAATATCAGGCAAGACCGTTGGATGCAGGAAGCGAGCACAAGTGGGAGTCTTCCCATTGCTCACAAGATCTATAAGGAACGACATGAAGGACGGGATCCTCCCCCGGCATTTGCAGATTGGTATGACCTGGCTAAGGATACTGTGGTCATTGATAAATTCGATCAGATCGACCAAGATTTGGCCCCCTTCCGAGCTATCCCACCCAACAAGCTTCGGCAACGAGCTTCCATTTTGTCTCAAATGCCTGGCATCCATACTATCGGTATCAAGGACGGTAATGCATCGAGGCTACCTGAAGTCACTGGCCATGATGCCAAGGTGCTGGACGGCCTCGTCTTAACCATCAACAAGTTTGCTAAATTTCTCCCTGACATGCTCTTTCCCGTTAACCTGGGAATTACACCACGGATTCTTCCATCATGGGAGACAGCGAATGGGCACAACAGGGCTGACCTGACCCCAATCGTCAATCTGATATCGAAGAGGGCAGCCAAAGAAGATGACGCAGACCAGGTTGAGGAGGCCAGATCTGCAGAGACTCCTGTGGCCGCTCCTTTGCCAGCGCTGCCGGATCATCCCCAAATCAAGAAGCCCTCCTTGATAAGCCCAGCCAACTATCGCCAGATGCAGGTTGAAGCATGCCCCCCCGGCTCACGAACTCGAACCAACCCGCACTGGAACATTGGAGAATTTTGCGCCGATTGTGTACGAAGGCACTCGAAAGCGCAACTCATGGTCAACTGGGAACGATCACTTCAGTACTGCTTCCAGCCTGATCTCAAGTACCTCCATGGTATGTCTCTCTCGAGTCCTCATGCGGAACCAATCAGGGACCTTTTGCCATTATTTGGGTTCTCCAAGTCGGAACCGTTCAATGACATCCTAATACCTCCTCCACAGGAAGATGACGACAGACTTGACATAGGCTGGAACTTTGACCGTCGCTACGACGCCATGTTTTGGCGTGGTCAAACTGACAATGGCGTTATTTCAGACCAGGCCTTGCGTGGCAATCACAAATTTCGGCTCCTTCATATGCTGGGAAATCAAAATCCCGATGACAAGGTATCAATGGTTCTTCCGACGGCAAAAGACCCATCAGTATATCGACATGAAAAGGTACCAATTACGGAAGCAAATCTTGTCCTCCCATCGAGTGTCGGCATGAACAATTACACAGGCTGTATGGGTCCCAATTGTGAGCTTCTTCATCAGACTTATCCCATCGTCAACGAGGCTCAGGACCAGGAGCCCCTCGAATACCGCTATATCCTCCTCTTGGACAAGGACTACGGGCCGTCACCCGACCTTCTCCGCGTGCTCCGCTCAAAGAGCGTACCTTTTATCTCCACCATCTTCCGTACGTGGTATAGCGATCGCCTGATTCCCTGGCTACATTTCGTGCCCATCGATACGCGTTATCAGGGTTTGCACACCACCCTGACATACTTTACTGGTACACAGAAGAAAGCATACCTCAACGGGCGCGATACTGACATGAAGGGGCTGGCCAAGGATGGGGCCTGGATTGCACAGCAGGGTGCCAAGTGGGCAAACCAAGCGTTAGGAGAAAAGGATAAAGAAGTCTACCTCTTCAGACTACTGCTTGAATGGGCGAGGTTGGTTGATGACAAACGTGATGAGATCGGGACAAGTAAGAATGATAAGGGCGAGCTTGTGAGCTCTCCATGGACAAAGAATCAGAAGTGGTGATTATAATGGGTTAACTGGTGGCAGGAATCTCTATCTCATTTAAGCTAATGATCTGTCTGCCTCTTCTTGTATATTTCTTTCCATAGCCATGAAGCATCATTACCGGAGTAGCTAGTCGCTTGCCATGCAGCAGGATGCCAATACGAGTAGTATACCTTTGATGATTGAAATATCGTACGAAATTGATCCACGTTGCTCGGACTCACAAACCGTACTACTCACTGAACAGCTTGATGCGAAGATCACATGAGCGGCATCCCAAAAGGATGCAGTCTCCATAAGTTCGAAAAAAAAAAACCAGGGGTTTTGTCATTGGAGGTCTCGATTCGTGGGACGCAGCAGCCATGATGCACATCGAAACCTCTACAGACTCCGTGTACACTCAAATACAGGCGGCAGCTGGGGCCTTTAGTGAGACGTGAAGTAGGCGGCAGTTACGCCGCGGTCATTCCGCCGTGGCGGATGCTTAAGAGCGGTACCGGGACGGTCTTCTCGGCCTACGATGAACCGATAAGACGGAAGCTCTGTCCAATTCCATATGGGTACGGGGCCCAGTCCGGCAAGTGCCTTTCGATATTCGGGAACCAGCACCGGGGACAAGTCCGGAGTCACTGCCTGACCTTTAACAGCTGTGAGGTATGTATGTAACAGCCCAACATGCGGTGATCTGGAAACATGCCAAGCGTCGTGCAAATGTGATGTGAAATGAAGGTGAGAGCTCCGTCAGATGCCATGGTTTTCAAATGTGTCAGCTTCGTGTGTAAATCTAACATCCTCGACCCAATTAATGACAATCGAACTGGTTAAATAAGATGTTCGGATTGTTTTCCCGTCGGTTGAAGACGCCTTGTATCGGTGAATCTAATGTGCTTGGTGGAGATCGCAACACCGATTGGCCTATTGCAAAGGACTCAGAGTCACGTCGGGGTCGGTTGCCCATCCGTCATAAAGGAACATTGTGCCGATGAATCAACGAGGTCCTTGCTCAAGCTTGGACCAACAACGAGAACTGAAAAGTGGATCAGATCTGATGATGTCTCGTGAAAAGATCTCGGTGAAGACCCGGACCCAGGTTCGACTGGGGTGAAAGAGAGTTTGGTGTGTATCACAACACCCTCTTTGTTCCAAGAGGTGCTAGAGGTGGCATACACCCCATTGCAGGAATACTGAGACACAAAATGATTCAAGCCATGAATATGGGATCATATATGGGCTTGCTATGCTCATAAGTATGTGAGAGAATGACCGACATACAACTGACAATGTGTGTGGCCATGCGTATGGAAGCCAATTACCGTCTTGAAACAAGACTGGAAACTCACAGCTGTTCTCAGCATCCGCAGGAACATTGCAAACACTTACGAGGTGAGCGGCTTTGCTTCGTAGCATTCGACTTAACCTCGGTGAATCTGTCAACCAGATGCTAGGCCCACAGCCTTTGTCAAGAAGAAAAGAAGAAAAGACTGGGCCCTGACTTTGGTTTGTGAGCATGGGGGCGGAGAATTGACCCAGGACTCGACCAGTAGGAACCCCTGATAGTGATACTGGGCCCTTGACGTCTAGGTCCCTTAGCTGCCGATGATTTCTCTTCACGAATTCTGGGGTGAGGTGAGCCGAGCAAGCACCTGAAAGACGAAATTTCTTTCATGTCGAAGTTGGGCGGAATTCAGCCACCGCTGGTCCAATCTAATCGAGTCGATTTGATAATTGTAATGCCGTAATAGAATTCTGCACATAATTCATGCTTTCCGTACTTAGTGCAAGGCAGCTCTGTCGTGCATGTCTCAAGGAACAGTATGCCGTACATAGAACAGGGAGCGTGGCTAATACTTGAGGTTATAACTAACAATAATTGGAGGAACGGGATGACGGATGATGGACGGTCGGCCATGTGCCTGGGGCTCTGCAGCGAGAAACTGAGCGTTCACTAACAAACCCCATCAAATAACGTGCCTGGTTGACAAATTGAGTTTGTCGTCCCTCTTCCCGAGTTTACAGCCGAATCACCTTGATGTAGCGTGGGTACGGGCCACACGTCCTTCTCACCGAACCGGAACAGGGGTTGACGGGCGGCGAATGACAACACTCCGTGCGGTGCTAGTGTGAGCGGTTTCTTTCTCCTTGGATGGCTTAAGAAGTGCTTCTGCAATACGGAGGCGCGCCTATGGAACCAGTTCTAAAGTATGGGGACGATTTGTGGGAGTCAAGCTCTAACTCGCAGTAGTGCGACTGGTAAGTGCATGGAGCTGGTCTAGGTGTAAGTGATTAACCGCGGGTAAGTGTCGAGCCTCAACGGCATCGAGCACTTGTCTTGTCTCAATATAAGAAATATGGTCAAAGGGGAAGTCGATTCAATACCACACGTCATATCCATATAAGGCTGGGCCTTTTATCAGCACATAGACGTACCTACAAAGACTTGAGTCATCAGTAAACGAATAAAACCTAACGTCAATACAAGGCTACGGCCAAGCAGTGGCACTGATTAATTGCTTTTGCTTTGGGACAAAGACAAAGACAGTACAGAAGGCCAATTGATGTTACTCTCTACCACGTAGTACTCATGTAAGCATAGCATGTCTTAGCATATAGGTTGCAGCTGCCGACGAGGCTGGCCGCAGACAACCGACCCGCCGGTGACGGAACCCGGTCACCTCATGGAGGTGGAAACGCAGAATGCAAACATGAGACATATTGTCTATGCTTGCAGTCGCGATTCCAGACTCCAAATATGCCACTGGAGCATAATCTTGAAACTGGGGAGGATAGAGGAAAAAGAGAGTGTTGGGTAGCTCTTCGCTTCCGTTCATGAAGAAGCCAACGGCGTGATGCGTCCCAGCTTGTGACGCTGGGAGCCAGGGGAGCTCTATCGTCTGTGCTCGGTGTTGCACCTCCGGTCAAACAGATGCTTTGGACAACGGGTCCTTGCACGGATCTCTTCATAGGGTGCCATGCGACGAACAGGGTTTAGCCATCCATCAGTCCGTGGTTCGGGTTGCACGCAGACTATCTGACCATAGACTTGAACTGGGAGATGGATCTCTGAACCTGATCCAAGCGTACTTGTAGCACATTTTGACCAAGTTCTTGCTTTGCTGGCTTAAGATTGGCTGATAGATGCCTCCACCAGTTCTGCCTCAAACAAGATGTCCGGCGGTTTATGTCAATATGCATATGGATCAGTACATAGTAATCGTTCAGTCTGGTCAGAAGAAGCTTGATGCGGGCGGATTTATACGGTCTTGAGTATTGAACATCGCAACCTCCTTCGTCCAATGGAAGGCCCAATGCTCGGAGGTATTGACTAGAGCCCTGTTGAGCCGATATCGCCTCGTCTGACAGACATGTTACTCGATCTTAATATGCCAGGTGCCAATAGCCGATGTGCGGTTGAAATCGACATATTTGGGTACGGTTAATAAAGAAGGGATGGATCACATTTGAGGGGGATTCAGTGGGGAGATGAGATGTACTGCCTCCGAAAAAGAAAGCAATTCCGAGGAAAGTCCTTTGCTGATGTGATGTTTGGATTGGCAGGGACGCCAGAAACCCACGTCGTCACGTTACAAGCGTATGTTAATATGGAAGGTACAGTACATTATAGACAAAGCAAGCAAGCAGGGGAGGAAGGAAGAAAGAAAAACAAGGGTGGCATTTGCCGCCAGAGCCGCGTATCATCACATAACGCTACTGTAGCTTAACCAGTCTAGTGGGATGCAGATTTAATCAATTAGGTTCTGTTGTCAAGATCCCTACTCCTCGAGTCCTGGGACGTTCGAGACTCGAGATTGATTGCTTAAAACATTGTGATATCAGACGGAAGGTGCTGCCATTTTCCATTTCATACCGAGATTTACCGCTCACCTCGGCCGGGATTTACAGCCGGGTCTAGCCTGAATCGTCTCACCTTGTCTTGCTTCGCGAACCACATCCCGCGGTCGAGTTGTCTGTCATTGGCTTTTTGAGAAATGTTGGATTATTTTTTCGTGTGATGATTAAGACATGCATCTTATCTCAGTCTTGCTCGTGAGAATCCCCAACAAATGTATGTCTCTCAGTCAATGTTTCAATGGGCAGCAGTTACTTCAATTCGGTATTGATTGTCCATATTCGGCTTCTGACCTCGACTGACCTTAAACCCACCTTACTCCAGAAATCCAGTGACCATCAAAGTTCAGGCTACTCCGTTTTATATCGTTCCATTTTACCCAATCTCAGGCACCCCTAAATGCAAGCCAATGTATTCCCGGGCCGGTCCCTTACTCTCACCTCAGGTACCCAGTCCATGTATTTGCCGTGAAAAGCTACCTCATTTTGATCTCCTGCTTCCCGGGGAAATCCACTTCCCCTCTGGCGGGCATTGTCACCAGCAGCGCTCCTCTCCGCCGTGCATGGTGAGTTAGTACCTAAGGCTCCCGCGCACGCCCCTCCCCATCCCACTTTCGCTTGTGAGCCCATACACACTACTGTCTGATTGGCCGTTTCATAGCTGTAGCTTTCTCTCCCACGCCCTCCCCTCCGCTTTCTTCACCTTTCTTCACCCCACTCCATTCATCTCAGGTCAGTCTTCGCGACGACGGAACACTCTCGGTCTCTTTCCATGGCATGAACTTGCGCTGTCTTTTTCTTGTTCTTGTTAGCTATTTCTCTTCAGCATCCCCTCGGATCACATCTTCTTGTTCAAGTGACCTTGGTCCGCTTCATTGCCTCACCTTTGCGCTTCACGCTCACCTGGACTCCATCTTGAAATCCGTCTTAGTACATCACAAGCCGGCTTTTCGTATATACGACTCCCATCTCGCCTTCAGATCGCCTTGATCCGACCAAACACTTCCTTCGATCCCACAAGCTAGCAGCCGAAACTGCGCGTCTTGCGACGAATTGAGGTATCGTCCACTGGCTATCTTGCATCGCGCACCTAGCTAGACGTTGATACATTCTCGTTTTGTTCAAGGCCCAGCTGTGAAGCTCATTGTCGGCTTAATCATCGTTGGTCTGCT